CTTCAGCCTACCCTCTGTGTCCTGTTTTTTCTTATCTTAAAATGAGAGAAATAAGAATTAATCTTATACTCTATCAAAATGTTTTCTACCATATTTCCAGATGACATCTGCATTTGAAAAGTCAAAGGAATCTGTGTCTAATATCCTGTTTTTAACTGCGGTGGGAGCAGGATGGAAAGGATGATGGGGCTTGCCACACAGCTGATTGGCTTCTTTCTTTCACATGATTCATCTCTCCCTGTTATGGCAAGGATTTTTTTTCTTCCTCCTTTGGGATCATTGTATATGAAAGAAAAACTTTAAATGACAAACCCAGACTCCAGGTGCCTTGCAGAGGTTGAAGGCCAACCGGGATTGCTGCTGCTGCCGCTGCTGCTCCTGCACCCCTTTTACTGGCATGATGAAATGAAAGGATGCATGTCTCCACTTCCCAGCCCCTCCTCCCACTTCCTTCCTTCACTGGCTCCAAAGTCACTCAGCCCCTTCCCTCATTTATTTTTGTTAAGTTGTGTGAATTATTTTTAAACATTTATCCTGTTTGTGTAGGGTTTTAAGAAGAAACAGCACAGTGCAATGAGCAAATCCTTTTGGGGTGTGTGGGAGGTAAGGGAGGGTGAAAAGTCCTTTAAACAATAACAAAATATTGAACATGTGTAAAATCCTGTATCATTTATGAAATATGTATAAAAAGCAATGTACCTTCTGGAACAATAAATACTTACTCAATTTTTGAACTATGAAATCTCATTTTTTAAACCAAACCCAAAAATTTACTTACCTGTGACTTAGTAAGCTTTTACTTTTAAAATGGTTTTTGAACATAATTATGACATTGCAGTAGTACTAGGAAAATTGGACAATCACATGGAAAAGAATGAAGCTAGACTACTACCTCACACCATATACCAAGATTAACTCAAAATGGATTAACGACTGACATGTAAGACTAACACCCACAAAATACATAGAAGGAAAACTGGCAAAACACTCTACAACATTGGCTTCGGCGATCTTTGTAGATATGTCTCCAATAATGAAAGAAAAAATAATGAGTCTACATCAAATTACAGACTACATCAAATTAAAGACTTCTGCACAGTCAAGGAAACCATCATTAAAACAAAAAGATACCCACTGGACTATAGTGATGGCACATGGGTGATTTGGTGATGGGAAGCCCACGGGGATTACAACTGAGATGAAAAAATGCACAAAATGATGTAAAAATAAACTATTAAAAAATGTACAAGGAAGGATGCAGTGAGTGAAGATGATAAAGCTATGTTTAATAAATGTTTCCTAATGAAAATGAGGGGAAAAAAAGATACCCTGCTAAATAGAAGAAAATACACACCATTCATCTGATAAGCAATTTCCAGAATCACCTGAGGTTAAGTGAACTCTACAATCATAATAGAGCCTTATCCTGATGAACAGGAAAAACCTCCATTATTATCAAACCACCTTGATTTGATTGTCCAGGGCAGTCTCCTGGACTTCAGAAAGTCATTCAAGAATGAGCCAAGATGCTGCTACTTTATTATAAAGATCACCAAACAGGAAACTGTTCACATGCTCCCTAAGTCTACCAAAGTCATATCAGAAAGCATATATGAATGTGGAGATGAGAGATGAGTCTGTAGCTATTTCCTGCCTCCCTTGCGACATTGTAAGTTATAAGAGTTATAAGAGGATCAGGATGAAATGATAAGCTACTGTGTCATTCAACAGATATTATCTACATGTTTTACAACATTGTTAGACCAGTAAAATTTCAGTGGGAATAGATAATGGAGAGTATTAAGTCCTCTGATGAATTTAGGTAATACAGTTTTTCTGAGGGACTTTGAGAAATGGTAAAAAGAAAAAGAGTTCTCTCAGAGAATGATCCCTGGAGCAGCAACATGGCAGGTGCTTCCTTAGAAATGCAAGTTGCCTGATCTCTACTAAATTAGAAACTAAGCTTGAGACCAACAAACTATTTTTAACAAACTTTCCTGATGACTCTGATAAGAACATTGATCTAATGAAACCATCACTTTAAGAGCATAATGAGTCCCAGAACTATGTCACAAATCATCAGTGAATCTTTTGATCAAATGGCCAACCTGCGTGACTAGAGGATTGATAAGAAAGGTAAGAAATATGGTAAATGAAAAGAGATGATGTTACATGTACTATTTTATCTCACCACAGTGTAGTAATAAGCACCTGGCAACTGCTTCAAAAATACAAACAGGTGCATTGTGTGTGTGTGAAAATATTTTACAGGAAAGTAGAACTTCCTAGAATTTCAAACTTTCACCAAAACTGTTAAGGATTGTAATTTCATTTTATCATTACCAACAACCTTTAATTCATAGCTCTCTCAAATAACTCCAAATTTACTGCATTCCAAAATATGCATCATAAGTTATTTCCTTAGGATAAATGTGTAGGCTAATTTTCATGAATTCTATGAAAATATTCATTTACAAATTCTTTAAAATGCATTATTCACTGAGCAGTCTCTCCTTGAAACTGTCTTTGGCTCTTATAACTTAACTCTTGGATGTGAATTTCTATCACAATGCCCTCTCCTCTTTCACAATGTCTTCTTCCTCTGATCGCATCTTTAATGTTAGGTTTCTTCAAGTTGCCATCTTGGGCCCCATTTCCCATGGATGATCTTACATGCTGCCCCATTTTCAGTGACCACTTACATGCTGGTAGCTCTAAAGTTGTTTTTCTAGCTCATATTTCTCCTGAACAGCAGACTGCTTTATCCACCTACTCACTAATCTATGTCTAGGACTCCTCACTGGTCTTTAAATTATTAAATTCCTTCAGTGCTACCAGAGTATTTCTGTTTCAAAATTCTAGTAGCATATATAATTTAAGAAAAAAATACATATGAATCATAGTGTTAAATATGGGAGAAAGAAGTGTAAAAGTTACCACAAGCATCATTTAGTCAAATCCAGAATGTGAACCATTCTACAGGATAAAATGACTAGTTTTCTTTCACAAATGACATGGAAAATGGGGTAGGAGGTAAAGGAAGGAGAATATACTAATTTTTAAATTTAGGCATAACACTTGCAATGTTTGCCATTCTTGTTTGAATTCTGACTTAAAACCATCAATACAAATACTTTTTTTTAAAGAAATTTAAGTATGGAATGGGTAATAAATGATAAGAAGGAGTTGTTACTAGTTTTCATGGTTTAATAATGGCTTTAGAATTATGTTAAAAAAAGAACCACATGTTAGACATGCATACTGGTAAATATATGGCATAAATTGACAAATGTTTATTATTGCACCTAAGTGTTAATTATTCTTTCTAATTTTTAATTATTTGAGTTTTTTTTTAAGTTAAAATGAAAAGGCAGGTCAATTAAAAAATTAAAATGGGGGGGAAATAAAAAAAAATCCTACCATCCTAGGAAGGCTTGTTTACAGAACCAAAGGACTATCTGGTGAAAGTCCTTGACTCTGACAATCAATCTTGGCAGCAAATATGAGTTTATCTTATGCACACATCCTCTGTTTCTCTGCAACACATATGAAGCACTCAGATGACTTCTCAGGGACAGGAAGTTGTAGAGTTTTGTTATTTCTGTTCAGAGCACTGACACTTAGCAGTACTATTCTGCAACAAGACAGTTCCTCAGTCCCTGAGTCACTCATTGCTGTCATCAAATTGCGACTTAATAAGCTGGTGCCCAAAAGCCTGTATTCCCCTAGCATTAGTGATAAAGTAGATAACTACAACTATCAATCAGTGAAGCCCCTCTGTTAGGGAGTAAACCATGCTCTGAGGGGCCACTTGTACTTCTCAAGTCAGTGACTGTTTATCAGTGACCGGCATGGCACCTGGTCCCTCATAAGCATGAAGATTTAATGGACTGTAATCCTTAAGGAAAGAGGCCACAATAATTTGCCACTTAAGTATAGTGAAAAATTATGCTGAAATGGGGATAATCCCAGTCACTAGACATTTGGTTATTAGGTAAAGAAACATAGGTGAGAGGAAGTATAGGATTAATAGATGCTAAAACTTCAAGTCAGGGTAAGATTAGGAGAGAAGAATTTTTATTTTACTGAGACACATGTTTAATATTTTAAAAACAAATGCAGACCTTTTCCCTGCCCTTCTTTTTATGCTTGCCCTTCACATATCCACATACCTCAAAATGTCAGGAAGTTAACAAGCTCCAAATCTATAATTACTAAGGTTATATCTGGGAACATGTATTATAGGAACAGGTACCTATGATTTCCTTCCTTTGCCTAAAAATAAAACTCTAGTAAACAATGTCACTTACATTTCTGTACTATTAATTAATAGTTCCTAATTTGAAGCTCTAATCCCTTAGTATGAGAATTAATAAAATAAATAACATCACACCATTTTAAAGTTCTGGAAAGAAAGGCACTATAAAAACAAGGTATCATTGTCTGAGTTGTTAAAAATACAATTTAAACCTTAATTCTAATTTTAGGACCAAAGCCCATAATAAAAGACTTAAGGGTTGTTTCAAGGGAAAATCATCCTGATTCCGCACCTGTCCTCACTACTCTTTTTGATGCTATTGTAAACTCCTTCACTGTCTAATCAAGACATTTTCTAATCATCAGTTAATTTGACTTTGCCTCATCTTTATTTAGTACACAATTCCATTGCTGCAGCATCATGAAATCAATTCCTAGAAGTCACAAAACAAGATTTTTGACGTGAGGGGATGTCTCTTCTGAAGTTACAGTTCCCTTCTTGATAAGATACTGGCATTCTCATCGCAGAGATTTCTTGAGTGAAAACAATAGGAGGATGAAGGATGGTGAGTTTTTTTCCCTAAAGAAAAATATCAATAAAATAACCCTGTTGACTCTTTGAGGTCAAGGCCAGAGAAATGGACACCTTATCCCATTCATCCTCTTCCTCTGATAAAGGCCCAACCCATACTGAAAAGTGTCCATAAAAGTCGAGAGGCCTTTTAATTTTTTTTTTAAGTGCTTGAAAAAGAAGAGGACAAAAGAAAACGGGTATTAAGAAGACTTCCCAGTCTGTTCCTGGTGCCTAATCCAGAAGGATGCCTAAGTTCCTGCTTCTCACATGCCTCTTCACAATCACTCCTGTGTCACCAATGGGTGAGTCTGTGTCAAGTATTTAACATACTTTTTAGTGTAGGAATTTGTATTATGAACCTATTGTTAACAGGCAGATTCCAGTTTTTTAAATGCTTTGAATAGCATAAGAAAAAAGGAATGACTTACGCAGATATATTTTCAGAGAATTTGTTTCATGTTCCACTTAGCCTCTTCTGGCCAACCAAAATTTCCATGGATCTAACATATCCAACAACTTTCAACTAGCTAAAATACATTTTGACATAGCTGTGAAAGGAATTTAACCTTTTTATTTTCTAGGCACTTTTTTAGTTCCAACTTTAAGAAAAAAAAAGATTTTTAGAGCTGAGGATAGAGTTTTTCCCTTAATGAATACAAGGGATTGGAAGTTCTATCCCCAATGACAGGCATAGATCTGGCTAAATCAAGCTTCTCCAGTCTTAACATCTGAAAAAAGGCTTTTTATACAGACCAAGTGAATCATAAATTGTCTCCTTCCTCAGCTTGGCACAAAACTAGTCAACTAGGCAAAGAAAAATTTCAATTCCAGTTACTAACAAATTTTTCTCTCCCTTTACCAATAATTTAATTGGAAGACATTCTTCTTAGCACTTGGAGAAATGCTAAGCACTTAGCAAAGGAGAAAAACATTCTTCTTAGTACTTTTGAGCAATTTAGTACTTAACTGACCCTGATTATTTCTTCAGGTTAACTCTGGCCTTTAAGAACACAATTAAAAACAGACTCAAGACCCTAAACAGACATGAAAAACTAAATGTAATGTCCTATAGTGGATGTGATCCTGGAACTAAGGAAAAGTGAATAAACTATGAACTTGTATCCACATTGGTTCATTAATTGTGATAATACCACACTAATGTACATATTTAATAATAGGGAAAGCTAGGTTCAAGGTATATGGGAATTCTGTACTGTTTGAAATTATTCTTTAAATAACTATAAAACTGCTGAAGAAAATGATAAAAATTGGTGAGAATTAAGTTCATCTATCTGCTGCCAAGAAGTAAGGGTAGCTTAAGGATGTCCTCTTTCCCCAGCTCCCCAATCAATTCCCACTTCCTTTCTTCCCTCTTTTCTGGCTTACTCTCCCTCTGGAATTTCCTCTATCCTTCTCCCTTCTCAGATCTTCCTCCACCCCTACCCCTTCTAGGAAGTTTGACTCAAAACTAGATAAAGGAAGAGTCGGGAACAGGGGGTTGGGGACCGGGATTTGGGAGAGGAGTAGCTTGCCTGGGGAGACTAGGGAATGTGAGAAAAAAGGAGGTAGAAGGCTGGGAGAGAAGGGAGCTATATAGGAAAGTAGGATAGGAAGGAAGTGGGAGAGTAAACAAGGGGACCGGGACCTTAGGAGAGGGAAAGGAGGAGGAGGGCATCCAGATCCAGCGGGCGGGGAGGCAACGGGAGCAGCAGCGTTGTCAGCCAGGATTTGCGGGGTTGGGGACGTGGAGCTGAGGACTGTCTGCAAACGGGCTGGGAGGTTGACGTTACTTCTCTGCCTAACAGCCACGAGGCTCAGGCTCGGGCTCTGGAGGCACGGGGATGGAAGGCCAGCTGGCAACCTGGTAAAGGCTAAGGAGCTCTGTGGCCGGCAGAGGATCCCTTACTTGATTTTTGAAAGGAACCGACAGGAGTGTTCTTTATGAAATTTTCCATTTGAAGAGTATTTATCAACAATGTGGTATGCAATATGCAATATGCGTAATGCCAATATAAGGGTCTCACATGGAGAATGAAAACAGGAATTAACTTCAGTGACCAGATTATTAAAAGGAGTGAATCACTGCCTTTAAAGGGAGGAAGAGGAAGGGGGTAACTTAAAGCAGGTCTATTTAATAAACGATTGAGTGACTTTTTGTTATGCCAAAGATAGTCAGCAGTTACCTCGTTTGTATGCATCTCCTCTACAACAGGAAAGGAATTGAATTTTCAAGAAATAACATTTACATTTAAGGAAAACTTTATAAATCCTAAAATAGTGATTGAGGAAAGGTTAGGAACTTCTGTAAAAGCCATTAGATGTGGAGTACCTAACCATTTCTTATAAAAATAGTCAAGGAGATGAACCAAATATTTCTATGAATTTATAATCACCTGTGAAATTGCCCTAGAAGCCTTGCTTCTTAAGAAAACCACAGTTAAGAGACCAGTGAGAGAAGTTTTCCCACTTGAGAGGGGAGGGAGTCTGTATAAGAACATTTCTTCCCCTTTGATATCAAACTATGGTTGAGAGCTCAGTGGGGATTCCTCAAGGACATTTTAAAGGAGAGGATTGCTCCAGCCCTTGCAACTTTGCAACTGCGTGATTTCCAGAAAAAGCAGTATCATATTTACTTCCTGTCCCAAACTGTGATTTTTTTTCTTGATAGCATTAGCACTAGACTATATTTTTTTGGAAAAAATCCAAAATATTTTCTAAACAATTTAGACTTTACGATCATGGACCATCTATATTTAATTATTGCTTGGTGTTTGCTAACATTGAATTTTCTGTCCACGAACTATCTGCCTTAAAATGAGTTCCGCATCTACAGTGTCAACTAAATCAACCTCACATGTATTAAGATTGAATAGTTCTCTTTGATCAGTAGTGTTGCCTAGAATTTTTCAGTTTTGCAGATTCTTGTCTATAGTAATTAAATTTTTCCCTGAACTTGAGGAAGGCAATGAGAATATTGAGGATATTGGTATCTTTAATCATTAAAATGTTTTTGATGAGTTATCTGCCCATACAATTTAAGTACTAAACCCATATTATATTCTTGAGAAATTTTGCTCTATTAACTAGTTGATACCATGGCTAATCATGGAAATGCAAGGTTTTTTCAGTTAGTTGATAGAATATATACTAAAATATATACTAAAATTCACCGTGAAAATCTTTGGTAACTACTTGCCAGTATACTGTGGATTTCAAATCAGCTAACATGTACCCAGAGGCTTTTTCCTTTTCAGTGAAATGAGATTTATGCATTCATTATCAAGTCAAACTTCCTAAGAGTGCAAAATTCCACCTATGATCTTGTTTACAAATGACTGTCCAAATACATTTAGAAAATTTTCAGAAATGGGAAGCTTACCATACTGTAACAAGCATCTCCACTACAGATTAGCTGTATTCAAATGTGCTTTCCCCTAAAATTTGTTCTTGTACAGAAGCAGAATACTTAGTTCCTCTTCCACAAATCTGTTTCAGATTTTTAAAGGCTGATAAGTGTATTCTTCAACCTTCTTTTCTCTAAATTAGAGTTTTCAGCAAAAAAAAAAAGCTCCCATCTAATTCCTGCCAATTTTCTCATAAAACCAAATTTGTCAATTAATTTTGCCAAAGAGAACCTCCATGGTAAAATAATACACAAAATATTATCTGACAAGTGTGGTGTTCAATGAGACTATAATGCTCATAGCCTATCAAATTGAGTACCTATCAAATGATCACTTGGATAAAAGGTTCAGTCTAATGCTAACACTAAACCCTAAGTAGATTTGAAAAGTTATTGAAATCAACTTGAGGGATCTTCAAAAGCTACTTTGGGGACCTTTAGATCATTTCTTCCTTGAAATGCAAAAAACAAAAAGTGGCCCTCCCTGGTGGCGCAGCGGGTTAAAGCACAGCACTGAGAATCTAAAGCCGCTTCTGCATGAGTTCGATTCCCGCCTGCCCCGGAGGTGACCACATGGCATGGCAGACCTCTCCTGGCCCGCCCGCTGCTCCCCTCAGCAGTGTACTTTGTCGATCTGCCTGTTCTGCTCCCCACTCTGTCTCTGGTGAAGCCTCTCGCCGCCCCTGAGCCTCTGGCCTGTACCCCAGTTCTGTATGCACAAATAAATACATCTTTAAAATAAATAAATTTTAAAAAAAAAGTGCATGACCAAGAAAGTTGATTCAAGCTGTGACCTAAAGCCTCCCAAGAAGCCTCCGAGATGTCCTTTTCATTCCAGCTCTAGATCCTTGTTCTGCTTACATCAGCCTGAATGAGCCATGGAGGAACACTGACCACCAATTAGATGAATCCAAAGGTCCTCCTCTGTGTGACAACCATGTGGATGGGGAATGGTACCGCTTCACAGGCATGGCAGGGGATGCCATGCCTACTTTCTGCATACCTGAGAACCACTGTGGAACCCATGCACCTGTCTGGCTCAATGGAAGCCATCCTTTAGAAGGTGACGGCATTGTGCAACGCCAGGCCTGTGCAAGCTTCAACGGGAACTGTTGCCTCTGGAATACCACGGTGGAGGTCAAAGCTTGCCGTGGAGGCTACTATGTATATCGTCTGACCAAGCCCAGCGTCTGCTTTCATGTCTACTGTGGCCGTGAGTACCTTCCTTCTGCTCTCTTTTCTCCCTACCACAGAGGGAGTCAAAGAGAAAAGGGCTGTATGAAGTTGTATATTGGTAGCTTAGGATCTGAATACCATTGATAGGATATTTTTACCTACAGATTGTGATTTCTGAGACCTGTTCTCTGATTTCTGAAAAATTCCTAAATTATAGAAAGCACAAGGGGTTATAACTGATCAGATTTGCTTTATTTCATCATCATGCCATTCAAACAAAAGGTTAGAAAATGAAATGTTGAGTCAGATTATCTATATCATGGATCACTACCATATTTTTAGTCTTGGAGAATCCCTTTTTAAGATATATTAGACATCCTGATGGTAGCATTGCATTTAGTATCCACAGATTTTTAAAATTATATATAATGAATTATATAAACTCTGAACAATGATAATTCCCTTGATGTTAGCTAGGAACTTAAACTCCATGACTGAACTCGTGAGACTTTTTCATGAATAAGAATGTACTCTGTCCCCTGCTTATCATAAAAGGTCATCTTATCCTTCCATAGATTTTTATGACATCTGCGACGAGGACTGCCATGGTAACTGCTTGGGTACCAATGAGTGCACCTGCTCTCCAGGAACTGTGTTAGGCCCTGACGGGCAGACATGCCTTGGTAAGAGACTAATCTTCAAGTACAGATAGGTACTATGAGGATTGAGGGGCAAATCTAAAACTTCCTAACTCAGAGCACCATCATTTTTCCAGTTTGGGATGATGTTTGTCTTTTTGGTTTACAATTAATGTATCAAGCCAAATTTAGGTCATGTTTTGGCTAGTCTAGAATGTACTGTCCAATATAGTAGCCATGCATGGTTTTGGAAGATTGGAAGGTACTAGAGTAACTGAAAACTCAATTTTAATTTTACTGAATTTTAATTTTAAAATTGACGCTTGATTTGGTCATTGGAAAACTAAAAGTGGTTGGAACAACTGGAGTAAGCAACAGTAAATTGCTGATTGATGACCTAGTTATGGATCATGTATGTCCAGTAAAAATTTAGCTTTCAAACTGGGACATATTACAATGTAAAACAGGCTTGAAATACTTTTTCAAAGTTCAAAAAATAATTTTAAAAATTTCAATGATTTTAATATTAATCATATATTGAAATCAAGTATTTTAGCATGTTGAATTAAGTTAAATTAATATTTTAAATAATTTTAATTTTAACGACTTTTTTCACCCTTTTCATTTTTTAAAGATTTTGGTTTAACACAGTTTTTAATGATTACTAGAAAATGTAAATGTTTGTTTGTGGCCTGCTTTGTATTTATTTGTATTGGATAGCTTTGGTCTAGAATTGGCTCAGGACGCATACTTCTATAACTTTACTAATATAATTTTGGTTTCTGAGTAGCAAGAAAGGGAAGTCATACTATTTGCAGAAAATCCAGTGCTCTCTCCTTAAATGCATGTTTTGTTTATAACTGAAAGAAAACAGAATTGAAAAACCTAAGATTGAAGACCTGTTCTCTTTCCTTTGATGATATGAAGCTTTTGGTATTAAGGCTCAAGTAGATTTTAAACAAATCTAGAAAGAAAGGGAATGACTCCTGCCATGCCTGTTTCCTCAGGAACAGTAATAAGGTCAGAATGGGATCTATACAGCTTATTTCAGAAAAGCTTTCTGTTCTTCAGTCTCTTTAATGAACCCCACTGAGTATCTTTAGGCACTAATGAACCCCACTGAGTATCTTTATACCCTCCCCCTAAGTGCTGTTAGGGCTCTTATCTGGTCAATCTTGATTATGTGATTTAATGCTGAAAGGCTTGGAGTATGGGAAGTATAATCTCTCCCATACTTCTCTCTCTCTCTCTCTCTCCCTCTCTCTGTCTCTCTCTCTTTCACACACACACACACACACACACACACACACACACACAAGTCTGCTAGGAAAATATTTTATTTCACTTTAAGGCCAGATATACTCATTCATTTCTTTATGTTTTAATGTAACTTCTGAATAGGTAATATAGTATATTAAACAGTGTGAAAATTATACAGTGAAATGTTTAACTCACTTCCCCCATTTGTTCCTGCTAACCTAATCCTACCCCAGGCAAATTGTTGTATTATTTTCTTATGTATGCTTCCAGGGTTTCCTTAGGCAGATATAAAAATTCAAATATGTATGTTTAATTACTGCCCCCCCATTTTTACACCAAAGTTCACATATCATACACACCACATATATCTCTTGCTTAAAGATTTATCTTGGACATCTTTATTAATACATAGAGAATAGCTGCCCCACTCCTACCTAGAGTGTGTATTGTTTAGAGATCATTAATTCCCTAAAATTAGAGACAATGTGTTTATGAACATGTATCAATTTTCCTTTAGTTTTTAATTTAAAAGTGACAAACTTATAATTATTTCAAATTTAATTTTAATTATTTTAAATTATGTAATATTTTTTCAAGCAGAGAGAAACAGATAGGAAAATAATATAGCAGATACACATGTACCCATATTTAACTACCATTCAGTTTCTTCACTTTTTTAAAATAAAACTTAGCAGATAAGAGTAAAACTACCTCATTCTACCCGACTTTCCCCTTGCTTACCTTCAAGGGGTAATCACTATTTTGGAGTCAGTGTATGTACACCTGATCCCTGCTTGTATTACTTACATATGTACTCATAACAATATAGAGAATTATTTTGTGTTCTTAAAATTAACATAAAAATGCTATCTTACCCGAAATGTGAGATTTGCTCTAGAGTATACCCATAAAAGTAGAATTGTTGGGGGCGTAGAGTTTGGCAGTAAAAGAGCAATAAACCCAAAATAACAAAAACTTAAATAAGTAGAAGTATTTCTCTCTCACATAAAAAAATAAAATTTGTGACAGTATGCACATACCAGACTTGGAAAAGCGTCTGGACCAGGCTGTGATTTGGCCACATCTAGGAAGGGGACAAGTATCTGACCATCTGCTTTCCAGGCAGTATAGTGAGGGAAGGGGAGGAAGAGGCCCTAATGCAGACTCAAATCTTATCCACTACATTTTTCATTTATACAAATCTTACAAGTCTTTTCTTGTTTTCAGTTCTGTTTTGTCTTTTTACACACTCCTGTAATTTTGGCTACTATCTTTTCCTTTATCTGTTAAATAACTTTTTAAAAATCTTTGATAATGGATTTTTCTGGATTGTTCCACTATCTTCAATTCCAAGCCTCCTGTTTGTTATCTTGCCAACCCTTTCAAGTGGATTATTTCTTCATGTATAGTATTTAATTGCAAACATCTGGAGTACTTGTTTCCTGTGGGATTCCATTCTTATCATCTGTCTGTAGATGTTTTACTACAGAGCTGTTTCTCAAATGCTGATAGGCACATGGGAGTTTCACCAGTCCAAGCAAAATATTTAGCTACAAGATGGCCACACTGTGTGGAAAGTATAAGCTCAAACTTTAGCCATGAGAGAGCAACTTTCAGGCTTCTGCAATTATGAAGGCTTTTCTCTTTCCTAGAACCTCGAGCAGAGAGCTTCTCTGGTCATTCTACTTCTTCTCTGGGCCTTGAAGCCCACCCCGTTTAATTGTGGGTATATGTCTTCTGAGGTCCTGGATTTAAGCAGATTTCTGTTTTAGGTTGTCTCTCTCCTTTCCTGTCATCTTTTGGGGGTACTTAAACCCTGATCTCCGGCTTATATCCTGTATCCAGTGACATGACATATTCAGCTCCTAAGTTTTCCTTTCTTTTTGCATAAGAAAGGAGGCCAACTGTGCACTTTATTTTTTTTTTTATTTTTGGAAAGGGTCTTAACTTTCATCAGATTTTTTAAAAGATTAACAATCATTGCTGAAGTATAATGTGTGAATATTCCAGTTTTTCAGATTTCCAGTTTTTCCAGATTTTGATGGCAGGCATTCATGTTATATCAAAAGATTGCCTCACAAATTTTCATCATATATTTCCTTCTACAATGTAATTTCCTTTAATATATTTAAACCACAATTGATTTATAAGTTTGTATTTCATTAACAAATGTTTAGGACCTTACTGGAGAAAGTGAGATTCACCAACATAAATAGGTGAATGAACCCAGGGAACAAAAAGAACTCCATTTCCCCATGGTTTTGCCCTTTAGAAGGAACTGGCAAGCAATTAGGTGCCATCCACTCCAGCAGAGGGCAGATGGACAAATAAATTGGCTGAGGAGAGCAAGTTGATAGAAGTAATTATACTGGGGGGAAGAGAGGGTGTGGGTTGTAGAAAGTATCTCAGCAAGGCTCTATAGATTCAGTCAAGGGGCTTGGGAGAAAGATTGTTCTGTCAGTAGTAGGTATAGAGTATGGTTTATCTTCTACAGATGAAAATGAATGTGAGCAAAACAATGGTGGCTGCAGTGAGATCTGTGTAAACCTCAAAAATTCACATCGCTGTGAGTGTGGAGTTGGTCGTGTACTTAGAAGTGATGGCAAGACTTGTGAAGGTGAGGATGGGTAAGAAGGGATTCACATCAGAGCTGAGCTAAGGTACTGGCTTATTCTTTAACATTCATGAAACCACCCAACATTAAAAGAGAAAACACAACTGAGATGGAAAAAGGCACAAAATGATGTAAAAATAAACTATAATATTAAAAAAGAGAGAATAACAAGTTAGTTCTATGAGAAAATAATAAAAAGGGTTCATCATTGAGAAGGCACGTCTTGCAGTCTGAATTCAGTATTGATTTTTTTCTCTAAGATTTAAGGGAGGGAGCATTTTACAAAAGGCAACAAATCACATTTTAATTTAGGAAATGAATATTCTGTGTTCTCAAACTTTGATGTGCCTATGAATAATATGGAATCCTGTTAAAATGAAGATTCTTGGGCCCTCCCTGGTGGCACAATGGATTAAAGCACAGCACTGCAAGTGAGCCACTGCAAGTGAGCACTGCAAGTAAGAGTTCGATCCCTGCCCCAGAGGTGACCCACATGGAGTGGCAGATCTTTCTTGACCTGCCTGTTGCTCCCCTCAGCAGTATACTTTTGTCTATTTGCCTGTTCTGCTCTGCATCCTGTCTCTGGGTGAATCCTCTCACCATCCCTGCACCTCTGGCCTATACTCCAGTTCTGTATGCATAAAGAAATAAATCTTTTTAAAAAATGCATATTCTGATTCAGTAGGTCTGGGATCAGGCCAAACCATGCATTTCTACATAACATTGGGGTGATTCTGTGCTGCAGAACCCAGAGCACAACAGAGTAGCAAGAGAAGAGAGGCCCAAAACATACAGCATACACTGCCAGCTGCAGTGTTTTGCAAACTTCCCTGCTGAGGATAATCACCTCGGTGTTTTTATACTAGGTGTGTCCCAGGCCTCTCTTAGACTGATTTGGTGGAATGGGAGTGGCTCTACAAGCCTGTGTTTTTGCTAAGTACTCTGAGTCTTGGAAGTTTGTGAACCTGGTTTTCATGAAGTCAGTTTTCCCACTATGCCGTGCATTGTTGGAAATTAAGATACTGGATATAAGCAGAATTACCTATTTTTAGTAGCAGAAATGCTGTTTACATTTAGATGACTTAAATAATAAAAATGTATGTCAAATAATTGAAATGCAAATTGTCTAATATTATTATATAAGACTTAGATAATGTTTCTTAGCTAAGGCACATTTGCATTTACAAATTAAAAAATCTTTGCAGATTATATGAAGAGAGAAATAACTTGTTACTATTTGTTGAGGTCATATGACTTGTCTGCCAGGATAATCAAACATGTGGCACACAAAAGAGTTCACTTTAGGACCTCCCTGGTGGCCTATGGGTTAAGCCTCAGTGTTATCACCACTATGGGGCCAGGCATGAGTTCAATCCCCAGCCACATAGGTAACTTACATACAGTACAGCAGACCTCTCCTGTCTCATCTGCTGCTCCCCTTAGCAGTGTATTTCAATAAATCCACCTCTTCTGCTCCCTACTCCACTTCTGATGAATCCTCTTACTGACCCTGACCTCTAGCCTACATCCCAGTTCTCCTAAACACACATAAGAAAGAGCTCACTTTATTCTAGTTACATTCAAAATAATAAAATACTACCACAAAAGGCAAAATTAAGGTTAGTGCTCACAATTCATTGCATGCAACAAAGTTTGCATTATTAACCTTGGGACTATTAACCAGAATATTAAAATACTGTCCATATGAAAAGACTAAATGTACTTTAAATTTTATTGAATATGGGAAATGTCCTGAATCTTCCTTAAATCTGAATTATTTTATACAATTCACTGTGCATATTTAAATATTAATGAAATATTCCATGAGGAACATACATAATTATTCATGAACATTTTATCTATCGGAAATATTATTGTTAATCCCTATATAATTTTAAAACCTAGTAATCATAACTGCAAAATAATTTAACAGAAGATAAAATTGATATATGCATTATACTTTAGGATTACGATTTTTATTTATAACCCTAAGTTTTATTGAACCAAATATATTTGTTTCTTTAGCTAGTCTATCACAAATTGTATCTTCTTTTTTTAATATAAGAAACTTCTTATATTAAAAGCTACTTTTAATATGTGCCTAACCCAGTCACTGAGAAATGCTTTTGTTACTTTTATTGCTTTGTTTTATTATAAAAGTATTATTTTCATAAAAGAAAATACATAGAATGAAATGAAAAGGATTTAAATGACCCACTGTCTTACTGCTTCATTTGAGGAATGTCACAAAAACTCAGTTGAGTGAACTCTTCTAGAGTATTATCCCAGACTTTATTTTTATAGTGCTATTAGCTCAGCACTAATATACCCTAACGCTTTTGTACCTAGAAATTTTGGAATTTAGAGTCAAGTGATCTAACCATGTACAATAACCTAGATTCATTTGCCTCTCAGGTTAAATTTATACTTTGGGTCTTCCTCCTAAAACCCATAAATTTAGTTTAACCATTTTGGAAAATACTAACTAAATCCAGGTTAAAGAACATTCTACCAAATACATGACCAGCTTAACTGGTTAGAGCTGCAAATATTGTAAAATTTCTCTTTGTAACATTTCATTAACATTTTTATGTGTGGGTTACCTGCATGTCTCAGTGACTGGATCAGGCACAGTGGTGCTGTGATGAGTCAAATTTAATCCACGATGAAAAGGCCACACTAAGAGCCAGAATTCCTGGGGAAGAGGATTATGAAATCATTAGCCCCTCCTCCCTTTTTTGTTTTTTTTATTGCAGACATTGAAGGATGTCACAATAACAATGGTGGCTGTAGTCATTCTTGCCTTGCAGCTGACAAGAGCTATCAGTGTGAATGCCCCCGGGGCTTGGTGCTGTCAGAGGATAACCATACTTGCCAAGGTAGTACTTGAACAGTCTCTGATTTATATTTCCTCCAGTCCTGAATCTCTCTGCCACCCTTACCCAAGATTCTTATCTCTTACAACACTTGTTCTCTGGGCAGTGTGCTTCCCTACACCTCTTCTCTGGAATCATTTAAAGAACATTTCTGAGAAGATATTTTACAGGGGTGGAGTGGGGAATGGGATAAAAAATGGGGGTGGGGATGTGGAGGTGCCCAGGACTATGGTGATGGCACACGGTGAGTAGCTGGTAGAAAGTCCATGGGGATTACAACTGAGATGGAATTACTTTTTTTTTTTTTTTTTTAAGATTTATTTATTTATTTGTGCATACAGAACTGGGGTACATGCCAGAGGCTCAGGGGCGGTGAGAGGCTTCACCAGAGACAGAGTGGGGAGCAGAACAGGCAGATCTACGAAGTACACTGCTAAGGGAAGCAGCGGGCGGGCCAGGAGAGGTCTGGCTCGCCATGTGGTCTCCTCCGGGGCAGGCGGCAGGCGGGAATCGAACTCATGCGGAAGTGGCTTCAGACTCTCAGTGCTGTGCTTTAACCCGCTGCTGCGCCACCAGGGAGGGCCAGAGATGGAATTACTTTTAATCCTTTTAGATATATACACAGAAATGGGATTGCTGGATCAGATGGTTTCCTTCACTTTTTCTCCTTGCTTTTTTCCTCTGATTTCTATTATTAACTATATAACTAATATTCAGTGTAGAGGCCTAAGATACAGGTATAGTCCTTCTCTTTTTAAAACAGATAATTAGAATGTAAAATTAAGTTGAAAGCTCTAGGAAACGGATTTTTCTCTCTTTTTTAAAAGATTTATTTATTTATACATACAGAATTGGGGTATAAGCCAGAGGAGCAGGGGCAGTAAGAGGATTTACCAGAGACAGAGTGGGGAGCAGAATAGGCAGATTATCGAAGTACACTGCTGAGGGGAGCAGCAGGTGAGACAGGAGAGGTCTGCCACACCTTTTGGTCACCTCCTTGGTGGGAGATCTAACGCTTATTGAAGTAGCTGCCACTAACTTCCTAGTGCTGTGCTTTAACCCATTGCACCACCAGGGAAGGATGGGAACTGATTTTTTTTTCCCCTATATTCACAGTATTCACAGTATAAACATGAACAAGCCTTGGAGAACTATTTTCAAAAACATATAAATTATTTATATCTAGACCTTTCTCTTATTCATCCCTCACATATTTAATGAACATCTCTGATTTTTTAATATTATTCCATTGTTATATGTCCTAACATATTTATATAGTCTTCAAGTACATATGACTAATCTTAAATATTTCTTTTAGGGTATTATATAGTCTGCAGAAGTATACATGTAAACACTAAGGAAAAGCTATCTTTTTTACATTAAGTTCGAGTGGAATTTATTGTCAGTACTTATGGTTTGCTGGACAATGCAAGGACAATTTAGAACTCCTCCTCAAGTGCATGGCCACTGTTTTCATTATCTGTATTATGGGGCAGTAATTAACAGTAAAGTCAAAGCAGTAGCATTATATAATTTAAGCCTATATCAAAGCAATGTTTTTTTCTGTAGTGACAATAAATTATGTTTGTTCTAAAGTTAATTCTTTAGCTATTTCAGTTCATGGAGTTATGTTGGATACTTTGAAATAAATGTTGGCTGAACTGAAACTTGAACACGTATTTCCTGATTTGGGGAGCAATCTATTTGAGAAGCATTATTTGACCACAACCTTGGGTGTTACAAGTCCTAGGTTTATTTACAATTTATTTTGAGTCTTATAGATTTCCTTGTGGGTAGTACAAAAGCCTCACGTTGTATGAGGGTGAAATTTTTTCTCTTGGAAGCCGCCTTATCTTTCTCCTAATTCTGGTAGCCCAGTTCTAACAATAACACCTCTCCACCACAGTCCCTGTCTTGTGCAAGTCAGACACCATTGAAGTAAGCATCCCCAAGGACCTGGTCGGCGGTCTGGAGCTCTTCCTGACCAATACCTCCTGCCGAGGAATATCCAATGGCACCCATGTCAACATTCTCTTCTCCCTCAAGACCTGTGGCACAGTGGTTGATGTAGGTTCCCCCTGGAGGACATTTGGGGAGATGACAAAAAGCCAGTTATTTGGGAGGCAGTTGCAGAGGTATGCAGTGTGGCTTGTGTTGTAGAAGACACATAAAAGAGTGGAATTCAAAAAAATCACATGCCATTCATTTAACAAACAGGTTACTGAGTTTCTGCTATGGTCCTGGCACTGTGAGGACAAGGAGTTAACAAGAGCTCTGCGATTTCTCTTCTCAAACAGTCATATGCAGACATATTCCTGAGTGCATCAGCACCAGTGGTAGTGGGAAGCTGACTGCATTCCCTCTGACCAATTCTTTTACTTGAAGAAAGTGATTGATAAAGATCATGTTTCATTTATGAGGTAGTAAATGACTTCAAGTATTGAACCTGATGGAGGTAAAACCTTCGTACTTTTGAGGGGGTAGGGCTGGGAGCAGTGTAAAAGCATACTAGTTACTTGTATTATCCAGAGCTTGTAAAGTCATTGATAAATAATAAAAATGCTTTTATCATTCAGTAATAATGTTGCAGTCTTTAGTATAATGACTAAAGTGGTTAAAATTTACCATAAACATATTGGAAACATAAAACAATTAATCTCTTTGTTTCATGTTGGAACATTTGCCTTCATATGTTCTTGGGCATATTTGATTTACATTTAAGGAAAATACTTTCATTCAGGAATCTGTGTGCAGCCCTGTTCTGGAGAATCAGAGAGATATATGAAATATGATCCTGACTTTTAGGAACATACAGTAGTTTTGCCATGACTACATACATAAAATGTAAATAAGAGGAACACAGATGGGAGGTGCTATAGAAGTCTACAAAGGGTCTGGAAATGTCAAAGACAAGTGGGACTTGAGCTGGGGTACAAGTGTATGTGTGGTTTGTAAAGGCTGAAAATAAAGGACATTTTATTAAGTAAGCAAGACACAGAGATAGACAACACGTAACTTTTTTTTCCTTAGGTAAATGGGCAGTGCAGCCTCACTGGTAAGGAATTTATAATTGGAAAAGGAAACTGAAAAATCATGTGGGGGTAGACTGTGCTTCTAGAGATATCTGCCTTGTATGCTAGGGGGCGTCCTTTGGACTTCATCCCATAGAAATGGGGCTAAGCAGACATTGTCTCCATGAAAACAGAAGTACACAGGATGAATAGAAAAAGAGAGTTTATAGGAGATTAATGCAGAGTAACTTGTGACCACTTGATTAAAAACACATATTTATTGAATTCAATTAAGAGAAAATTAAACCTGCGGTGATACATGGGAAATTTGAGGAGCAAGTAGTCCTTCTTTAGGCAGGTTTTTCTTGTATGTGTGGATAATACAGTGGAAATGCCCCGTGGTGACTCGGTGTTTCTGATAGGAAAAGAAGGCAAATGAGGCTGGAGATTATAAAAACAAAAAGGAAAGTCATCTGTGAACGTGTCCTAGCTGAAGTCTGTCTGTGGCTGAGTTCAGCACAAGGTCGTGCTGCAACAGGATCACAGGTCTAGAAAGCCAGAAAAAGACAAACAAGCTCTTTTTTCTAAAGCAGAGCTTTGAATTTGCTGATTCTGCATAGCTCCAGTTTTATGGAAGTTTCATATCCAAAGGAATGTGTGGGTTGACCATGAAGTAATAGTAAAACGTTTTACCAGTAATGGCATCTTGCTAAAAAGAGGAGAAGCAATGAAAAAAAGGAAAAAAATCTTCAGGATTAGGCAGCTAAATCTCTAAAGTGTTTTGTTGTAAACAGAAACTTAGAAAATGTTAAGATTAGGGTGGGGGTGGGAAAGGACTGTAAAAATAAACGTTAAAATCTTTTTCTTTCCTCACCCTGGCCTGGCTCAGGTGGTGAATGATAAGATTGTGGCTAGCAACCTCGTGACAGGTCTACCCAAGCAGACCCCAGGGAGCAGTGGGGACATCATCATCCGCACCAGCAAACTGCTGATCCCAGTGACGTGTGAGTTTCCGCGCCTGTACACCATTTCCGAAGGCTATGTTCCGAACCTTCGAAACGCGCCACTGGAAATCATGAGCCGCAGTCATGGAATCTTCCCATTTACTTTGGAGATCTTCAAGGACAATGAGTTTGATGAGCCTTACCGGGAAGCTCTGCCCACACTCAAGCTTCGCGACTCCCTCTACTTTGGCATTGAGCCCCTGGTGCATGTGAATGGCTTAGAAAGTCTGGTGGAGAGCTGCTTCGCCACTCCCACTTCCAAGATTGACGAGATCCTGAAGTACTACCTTATCCGGGATGGGTAACTATGCTGCTTCTACAGTTTTTTATTCTTGGTTCACATCTAGCCTCTACGTTCATGAACATACTTAGTCATTTCCTAAAACTCCATGATATTCTTGTAAGCTCGTAAGTAGCTCAGAAGTCATTTACTGACACTACTGAAAGAAAGGGAAACCCAAAACGACTTCAGTGGGTGGACGCTTGGATAACTGGCTACTCACCATTAGTTGAGATGAAAAGCTATAGGTAGAAAAGGAAATTTGAGATGAAAATGGTGACTATAATAATTCCAAATAATAACATTGAATTGTCAATGTCTGCAGCATACATAGGAAGTTCAGTGGGCAGTTGGACATGAATATGAGGTAGACCTCGCAACAAGCTTAGGACTAGAGATTATGGATAGAGAATCAGCCTATTTATAGCTTGAAATTTAGATGGATGAACTTGCTCAGAGAGAGGAAAGATCATGAGCACTGGGTGGGGCTGAAAATGCAAGGGTATGAGGATTAGAGACTGCAAATGTAGACTCCTTTCCCAAGGAGCTGCTAGTGAAGGAGAGAAAAGAAATACTTGGTAAATTTTTTTTTAATATTAGCTGTAATTATTATTAACATAATCGATATTTTCAAACTTTTTAGCTACAAAATACTTGGTAAATTTTAAGAGGGAAAAGATCACATGAAGTTTATTTTTCCGTGCTTGTTTTATATCAAAGAAGATTTCCATATTTCATAAGAATTGCTGATTAAGAACTGTAGAGTGCCAAGGTATTATTGGAAGTCCTGCAGTTAGCATACCCATTGCTTACATTCCCAGGAAAATGCCACTGACACCCCAAACTCATAGAATCTCATCAGTGTCTTTTTTCTCATATTTCATGTAGAGAGAAATGGTCTAAGAATATTATAGCTGTGCCTTGAGTCCATACCCTTTGCTAACTGCAATTATAGGCTCTCAAATTTCTACTTTGTTTTATATCTCAGATTCTCTCAGCATAGGCATCTGGATGACTGGCTACTCACCATTAATCAAGATAAACAGACATAGGTAGAAAAGAAAATTGTATATATACATACATTTTACTGATAATAGGAGAAAGGGAAATCAAATAGGAGAAAGGGAAATCAAAAATGATGCCAAGAAGTGGAGCTTGGATGACTGGCTTCTCACCATGAGCAGAGTACACATACACATAGGTGAGCACACCCCCCCACACACACTCACATACTCAACCCTGTTGAATATCTTTTAATAGCTCTTTTTTTCCTTTGATAGTAAATTTTTAACTGTTTCCTGGCTAGATTATTTCTAATCTCAGATTCCCGTTTTAGAATAAGATAAATTATAATCCATTTTCTGGGGAAACATGTGACCTACAATCACAATAAAACTTATAAAGTATATTTATATATGTGTTATTCAAAACCTCAGTTAAGAACTTTTTACTTTTTGTTTTAGACAATTCCAAGCAGGTATGCTGTTTATTTTCTAGACCTTAAAATATACAAAATAGCAAAGAATAGATGTTGTGAAAGATGCTTGAGCATCCTAGAAAGATGCTTAAATAATCTAGACAAGAATTCAGAAACACATCGGTGTGCTACTTAATTCACAGGTAAATAGTTCCATCTAGTAAAAATGCATAGCATATTAATAGTGCGTGTGAGATAATCCCTCAAGGTAAAATCCAACTCTCAGCTTGACTCACTGTGCCTCACCCTCTGACCTCTGCCTTCTCTAATGTCTGCTCTACCTGAGGAAACTACAGGAAATTCCTAAACTCCATTATTCCTTATATCCTCCAGGCTTTGCACCTGCTGCTTCCTCTGTTTGAAATCTTTCTTTCTTTCTTTTTCTTGTCTGTTTCTTATTAGACCTCGAAGATTCAGCAGGTTTATTTCTCCCATGAACCCTTCCTTTATCCCTTCCAACCTGAGCTAGAAACCTTCCTTTTTCTCCCTCAATGCTTAGCCTATAGTTAGGGTCATTAAATATTTGTCAAATGAATTATTGAATGAGCATTTATCATAATAAATTTGGGGTTAGTCCATAGCCTTGAAATAAATCTAGTTCAGTTTACTTATACTTGTAAAATGTTTTATTATTCACTGACCTCAGCTTAACTTAAATCAGGCTGATCTCTCTGATATTTAACACATCTGATTTACCTCCTCCAGTTTCAGTTGGCACATGTTCTAAGAATACAAAACAATTTAATGAAAGCCTAAGCAAAGTGGAATAGAAACCTAATCTTCAGGGGAAAAAATTTATTGAATTCCAAAATCAAATATTGACAAGTTTTAGATGAGTAACTACCCTGGTTATCTTATACTGTTACTTTACTTCCTCTTAGCTCATGAACTTGGAATTGACAGAATTAACATCAAATTGAGAGTCAGAATTTCTTGTGGAGTCTAGTCTGTAATGTATTGCCCTAACAACTCTTCTTCATTTTCTTTTAGCGAAAAATAATAGTGTTTTTGGGTAAAGGTATACTGAAAATGCTTAGACACTTAGGTATATAATATAATATAATATAATGTAGTGTAATATAATTTTAATGTAGTGTTACTATTATTATCACAGATACATAGCTATAAAGTCTTTGCCACCCTAGATCATACTAATCATCTTTATATCCTCTGAGGCACCCAGCAGAGTATATCCTATGCAGCTTATATATGCAGTAAATATTTATTATAAGCATAATTGGAAGATGGTATATATTAGTTTTATGTCTTGAGAAAGAAAATGAGTACATAAATACAGAACCAACAGAAACCACGTTATATATTTGGATCCTGTTCAGAGGAAAAGTGCTAGTAATAATGCAAGTTAAGTTGCCTTTTTAAAAAATAGTTTTATTGGATTTTTCAACTTCACTGAAACAGCAATTAGCAATGAGCTAGAAAGTGATCTGTAAGCGTGTGAAGCAAGTATCTAGCATCATAGGCTTTTAAATTTGGACCCCCCCCTTTTTTCCTTTTTCCCTGACTTTGTAGACAGTTTAGGAATCCATTAAAAAAAACAAAATTATACCCAGAACAAAAGTGCTTTAGAATTCAGAATGGAAAAGATAATACAAGCATGACCCTTGACCATGAAGGAGAAAAGACTTAATCAATACTAAACCTTCACCTCAACCTGGAGAGTAAGTAACCCTGTTTTTCTCCTAGCTAAACCCTAAGGTGAGTCTTGGAGTTTCACTTCAAGCAAAATACCCGAAACCCCCAAAGCATATGAAAATACAGCTTAGCATTAAATTTGGGAAGAGGAACTAAAACAATTACGGTAAATGATTTTCCCTCAAAAGAACCAATTATTCTCTAGGAAACTTAGATCTTAACACAGCTTTTTGATGCGTGAATTAGGGTTGCTCACCTTTGAGTATCCTCAAAGATTAGTGTCCATTAACTAGTTATAAAATTTAAAGTCTTCTTAAACCAATAGTAAAGCACATGAATTCAGAATTTTATAAGTTAACCTATAACAAATGAAAATACAAATCCTCTTAAGTAAAGGTATCTTTGAACTAAATTTCTGTTGATGATGTGTGTTCATTACACTGACTTTGTAAGAAGCTCTTATGCCCAGTTTTGTGGCACAGCCATTGAAACAGGACTGACATTGTTAATAAGCAGGGCTGTGTCTGAAGATGCTTCTCAAGGAAGGAATTGCACACTCCCTTCATTCTCAGCATGCTTGAGTGCAGCCCAGGTTCTTCCACCTTGGACTGGAGACACATTGGACTGGATTGTTTTTCCACCTCTGTTTAAACAATCAAGACTTATGTGCTACCCTGTCTTCCTTTCAGCTGTGTTTCAGATGACTCAGTAAAGCAGTACACGTCGCGGGATCATCTAGCAAAGCACTTCCAGGTCCCAGTCTTCAAGTTTGTGGGAAAAGACCATAAGGTGAGCAGAACACCAATCCCATCTGAGCCTTCCTTAGTGTCCCAAATTGCTGACATTCTGAAAATTCATAGTTACAATCTCTATTTTCTCTGAAAAAAATTGTAGAACTAGCTAGCTAGAAGCTTATCACTTTTATGAATGTCACAATAACCTGTTCTTCCCTCCAATAGACTAGCTGTTCTTATTTTTAAAAATACTACATAGTTACAATTTAAAATACTGTAGCAAAATATGTTTGAAAAAGTTGGTGTGGTGGTCGCACAGCAAGTGATATGGACAGAAAATTCACAGAAATGACAAATAGTGAAATGTTCAGTAAAAATAGTGATTAAAATGCCAATAAAACAATTATAAACTTGTGAATATTAAATTTACAAAAGTTATAAATCATGCTTTGCAAGATTATAAAAAGAAGTAAACAGATGTATACAACTTAATGAAAAGTTGCAAGAATATGAAACAATAACCATAAAGTCATCTTGTTCTTTTATCTAAGAATTCCAGCTTCTCAAAAACAAGCAACAAAAAAGAAAAACAAAATTTATTGGATGTTTTTATAGAATATTGTTTTAGGGGGTAGGAAAGAACCCAAACAATATATTATTTAATGTACTGTTAAGCAGTTATTAAAATAATAAACAGAAAAATATCTATAAAAAATTGTAACAATTTACATGCATATTAAAGAGGTTATATTTACTATGTTAACATGGAAGTAGTTTGGCACTTATTGAAACATTTAATAAGAGGAAGATTTAAGAGATCATCAGTCTTACCACACTGTTTTGAGTGAATTAATGTCCCTTCCAGCTGCATCTCTGTTCCAGGATAATTGCTAAGCATCGTGACTAATCATGATCTCCTTTCTCAACTAAGCGGTATGCTTTAGGAAGTTACTCAGAGGAATCTTAGAGAAATAATTTGTTATTTTACACAGAAATAGGAGGGAAGGCCCAATGTTGTTCCCAGAGATTGATGTGTGAAGAAGATACTTACATTATTATATGTTGCCTTCCAAAGGTATCTCCTTTGCTTATTCAAAGGTAGAGGTTATTAATGTAACCATAAAAAACAGCTTTAGTTTTACATGGGGCTCACTGTGTTTGCCATGTGGCTACTAAATGTGTGATTTTAGGTAAGTTCCTTGTCCTCTCTAAGTCATAATTTCCTCCTCTGTAAAATGGGTATGAGAATCTTTACCTCAAAGATTGCTGTTTACATGAAATGAGATAATATGGATGAAATATTGTTACAGCATCTGGCTTTCAGTCTGGTCTCACAGTGGCAACCCTTATCATTGTTTTGTTAATTTTCATTATGTTCTTTACAGGAAGTGTTTCTTCACTGTCGGGTCCTTGTCTGTGGGGTGCTGGATGAGGGCTCCCGTTGTGCCCAAGGCTGCCACCAGCGAATGCGTCGAGAGGCAGTAGAAGGAGAGAACACTGCTGGTGTACAAAGCCAGATGCTGATAGGTGGCCCAATCAGCATCGACTGGGATGAGTAGATGACCCAACAACTAAGTCCTGTTTTTGTGCTGCTCACCTCTTGGAATTTCTCCCAAAGCTCTTTGAGAACATCAGCTGATACCCTAGAACACTGAGCTTCTTAAAACCTCATATTGTGTGTCTCCAAAATCCCAGAACTGACTCGATCTGCTTCCTGGCTGAGTCAGGAAAGGTCACCTCCCAGCTGACCATCCTGACCCAAATGGGGCTTCATCCTCCTATGCCAAAAGCTATATCCTTACAGAAAACAGCTCCCCCATTTCTTTCCTATGACAAAACATATATAGTATGCAGTAGGACCACTAAAATCAGAAGTCATATATAATATTTCAAATTAAGAACTTAAAAAGTAAAATAGTTGTTTATAAGTATCACTTAAATACCCAGTGATTCCTTAAATATGTAAGTATATCTGAAATTTCTATTCAAATAGTTATAGGGGATGTGGAAATTTATCAGTTATAGGGGATGTGGAAATCTATCAGTGTACGTATGTACTAAAAAACATACTGTTTGATTTTTCTATTTCATAGTATTTTCTTTTAATGGTTTTATATTGTCTTACATGACATATTTTCAGTTAATAAATTCATTAACATCAACTGAAGTGGTTCAACAACTGAATTAAAATTAAAATTTTGTGTACAAAATAGCATGTTCTATTTTGTAAATGCTTAGTAAATTTTATGGAAATAAATATTGTAAACCACATAGATAAGTTGTATCTAAAGTTAAATCCAATTTCTTTATATACCAATTAATCTTATGGGTTTACATAGGAAAGAGTTTTTCTTCTTTATCTTTCTAGATATATCTATGATCAGCAGTTCTTAATTGAACCAGTAGTATTAATAAAAAGAAGAGAAAGGACAAAATGGTCTAGATTGGGGATGGCTGGCTTTTTCTGTGAAGGGCCAGTGGTAAATATTTCCAGTGGTAAGTCTTTCCAGGTCATAAGCTGTTGTCACAACTACTCAGTTTTGCTCAAAGCGAAGAACAGCCATAGCCAAATGTGTTCCAGTAAAAGTTTATGGAAACAGGTGTTGGGATTTTGTCACTCCCTGACCTTTGTGTCCCTTAGCCATCACAGTGCATCAGAATCACTCTGGGAGTGTTACAAAACACTAAACATGTAGATATTACTCCCACAGTCTTTGTGATTGTTTTATCGTGGTTGTATGAATGCTCCTCAGGTGATTCTAATCCACCGTCAGGGTTTAGAACAACTACTTAGGATCTGACCATTCATTGTCTTTCACTTCCTCAGATTTCACAGACTTTTCCTAGCTGTCTTCAGTGGCTATTTTTACAGAGTACTTCTTAGCTCCTAACAAGATACTAACATCACTAAGTAATTAGGATCATCAATAGAAATAGTTCACAGAAGACAAAAATGGAATCTCAGAGACCTAATTCCATCTGACTTCTTTCTTCATTGGCCTTAATCAGGTAAGTCTCTGACTTTGACCACCTGTTTTTATCTCTTTAGCACCAGTGAAAATAGTTATCATTGGAAGGACTTACCAGGTTGGGTTCTGTTTTCTTCTAAGTGAAACAGAAGCATATTGCTGATAATGGAATTCATTCATCTCTTTTCAAATTTCCTAAAAAGTATATTTTATTAACTATGAGATGTTTACTGGTAACTGAAATATCACCCAGAGGAAAGTCATTGCCTCCCTAATGGCTGGTCTCTCCAATATTTCACATACAAATAATTATATCAAATCCAGGAATCCCAGTATTTTAGTCTTTAAGAACTGAATTTCCAGGTAGATGTGTTTTACTTGGAGATCCCATTGTTAAAGCTTAGAAACACTCCATGCATGTCTTTTTTTCTAATTCTCCTCAGAGAACAGGATTCACTTTTCAGCTGTAGAGCAATGTTCCCTTCCTCTTGCTTTATGGTATCCAAACTTTTGCAGGGAAGGATGAGATACAAACTGCCACACCATCATCTCCAAGATAGACAACTGTGTTGTCACTGAAAGCCAGGAGGGAATCACCTCGTTCTCACAACTCTTCTTTCTCCTCTTCTGCACAGATGCAGGCTGCCCGTTGACTGTTCATAAATGGCCGGCACCCCAAAGTCCATACAGTATTGAACACAGTGTCAGCCAGAGAATCACAGGCTATTTGGAAAAGAAATGTAAAGGTTAATATATAGGATTACTCCAAATAGTATGAGTAATTTTGAAGAGGAAATATATTTCCCATCATGATACCCAGAGAAATGTAGAGGCAGCAATCTAAATACAAAATTAAAAGGGAAACATACATTTAAGAGGTGGTTTTTCAGAGAAATTCCCACCCAGGCATAATACACTTTGGCATGCCCTTTATGGACCTCCTGATCAAAACCACGTTTAGCAATGAGAATTTCTTTTACCAAATGCTCACTACATGAGAAATCTACAGTTTTTGCAAAATCCTTCTTCAGGCAACACTACTATGTTTCCTATAGCTTTCCTTGTTCAAGTGTGAGATAAATAACCATGTATTCACTGAAAAAAAATGTGTGTGTATTACATATGAGACATGGAGTGTCTCTAAGCTTTAACAATGGCTTCTCCAACATATGTAATACACACACCCTCTTAGACATCAGGGTCACAGAGACAAAAGAGAATCCAACTCAAGATTCACAGTTGGGACAAAGAAGTAGACAGGTTTACTGATAATTATATCATGATGGAAGTGGCCCCAAGGTGGTATGGATACCCCAGAAAGGGTCTCTGGTTCCTTTGGGGTAAGAGTTATTAGGGATAGCATCTAAGTTTAAATTTCTAAAACAGTAAGGGAAATGAAGCATTGATAATGCTACAACATGAATGTATTGTGAAAACACACATAAGGTGACACAGTAAATGATTCTGTTTATATGAAATCCCAGAATAGAGAAAACCACAGTAACAAAAAGTAAACTAGTGGTTGGAGGAGTTGTGGGTAGTGAGGAACGAGGATTGACTGTTAATGGGTATGGAGTTTCTAATGAAAATGTTTTGGAATTAGATTGTGGTTTTGGTTGCAAAAAAATGCATTAGAAATGCTAAATTGCACACCTTTAAAGGGTGAATGCTGTAATAAGTGATTATTAGCAATATTCACATAGCCATAAACAAACCCTGTTAGTTGAAAGATCAACAAAAATAGCTATACTGGTCAAGAAAAATACAATTCAAATTACTAAATTCAGGAATGAAGTCAGAACATTACTACTGAACTTACAGATATAAAAAGTATTACAAGGGAATATGATCAGGAACTACACGTCAAAAGTTAGGCAATGTGGATAGGCTGAACAAAGTCTTAAAAAGGAATAAAATATATAAAGAAGAACTAGAAAATATGAAGATTGCTAGAATATATAATTTCTAATTCAAGTGCTGGAATTGGTAATTTAAAACTTCCCCAAAGAAAATCCAGTTTCACTGGTGAATTTTATCATTTAGAAAAATTTATTAACAATCATTTCCAAAATCTTCCAAAAGTTAGGAGAGGATGATTGACCAGTTCATTTTCTGATATTATTCTGATACCAAAACCAGATAAAGATATCACAAGAAAAATAAACTATAAACCAAATTCTCACAAAATACTACTTAATTGAATCCAGCAGCATCTTAAAAGGGTAACATCATGAGCAAGAGAGATTTATCTTAAGAATGCAAAGTTGACCCAACATGTAAAAATCAATTTAATATACCACACTATATATTATAGAATAAAGGATAAAAGCCACATGATTAGTTTATAGTTGAAGAAAAAAGTCAGCACTTTTTCATGATAAAGACACTTAAACTAGAAATAGAACTTTCACCACCTAATAAAGATCATGTGCAATAAAAACAACAGCTGTTAGCCATGCTTAGTGATTAAAGATGAAATGTTTTCCCCTAAAATCAGGAACAAGACAAAAGCATCTGCTCTTCTAACACTTCTACTCAATATTTCACTTGAAGTTCCAGCCAGGGACATTGAACAAAAATAAATAAATAAAAGGCATTCAAATTAGAAAGGAAAATTTTATACAGATCACATTATCTGATCTACAGAAAAGCCTGAAAAATCCAGTAATACAAATCTATTAGAATAAGTGGTTCATCAAGGTGGTAGGGCAAAACATGAACATATAAAAATCAATTATATATCTATTCAGTAGCAATCAATTATCTGAAAATAAAATTAAGAGAACAATGTCAAATGTAATAGCACGAAGGAAGTGTAAGGTTTGTACTCTGAAAATGTTAAAAATGTATTAAAAGAAATAAAGAAGACCTACAGAGATGAAAAGAATATGTTTATGGATCAAAAAACATGATCTTTAGATGTTAATCGTTTTCACATTCATCTACAAATTCAGCAAAAGTCCTAATAGAATCCAACTGCCATTTTTTGAAGAATATGAAAAGTTGAACCTAAAGTTCATGTGGAAATACAGTGATTCACAATATACAAAACAAACTTGAAAAAGAACAAAATTGAAGGATACTTCCTGATTCAAAATTTGTGACAAAACTATTGTAAAATGACAGTGTGGTCTTGGCATAGATCAATAGAGTTAAAGTATAGAAGTAAACCCTGCATTTATGGTCAATTGATTTTTGACAAGGGTGTGAAGATAATTTGTTGCAGGAAATATTCATCTTTTCAATAAATGGCTTAGTAACAACTGTATATTCACATACAAAAGGTTAAAAGTGGATCATGGACATAAATGTAAGCACTAAAACAAAATTCCTATAAGAACATAGAGAACTTTATAACCTTGGGTCAGGTAAAGACTTCTTACACATACCCCAATAGTATAAGCAACAAAATAAATATGTAAATAGCTCCTGTGCTGTGAACAACTGCATCAAGAAAATATAGAAACAACCTATAAAATAAGAGAACATATTTCAAAATCTTATATCTGATAAACAACTTGCATCTAAATTTATAAAGACTGAATAATAAAAAGGCAGAAAATCCTATTTAAAGAATGGCAAAGGGATTTGAGTAGACATTTCTCCAAAGCAGATGTATGATGGCCAATAAGCACATCAGAAATTAAAAATTTTACAACATCATTAGCAATCAGTGAAATACAAATCAAAATCACAATGAGTTACTGTTTTATAGCCACTAAGATCTGTAATCAAAAAGATGGATAAATGTTGATGAGGATGTGGAGAAAATGGAACCTCAATATAAATTGCTGGTGGAAATGTAAAGTGCTGTAGTGGTTCTGGAAAACACTGTCAATTACCTAAAAAAACAAAAGCTAGTTTGAGTGTTTTCTAAATACAGTATTACTATATAGTCCAGAATGTCTCCTCCTGGACATAAACTCAGGAGAAATGAAAGTCTGTCTCTATTAAAAACTTACAGATAAATGTTCATAGCAACAATATTAATAGTAGCCAAAAAGTTGAAACAACTGAAATATCTGTAAAGAAAATATGTTCTATCCACAAAAGAATGTTACTCAGCAATAAACAAGAATGTGATACTGATACATGCTACTATATGGATAAGCCTTGATACGTAAGAAAAAAAAAAAACCCTCACAGAAGGTCACACATATTGCATGACCCATTCATATGAAATGTCCAGAAAAGGCAAATCTATAGAGGTAGAAGAGAGATGAGTTGTTAAAAGCTAGACAGGAAGGATGGAGTGGGACAGCTAATGGCTACTGGGATTGCTTTGGGGTGATGACAACATTCTAAAATTGGCTGTGGGGCTTATAGCATAAATTGTGAACATATTTAAAAAGCATTAACATGGCTGAATAATATAAAACATGGCTTATATCTCTATGAAATTGTTTCAACAACAAAAAATGACTAGTGTGTTCTAAGTAGAGGGCACCATAGGTATGGAAAGATGGGGGTCATCAACCCAATAGTTTGGAATAACAAGTTAGGAGAGATAAAGATATAGATTATATTGTAGAATCAGAAACGGCTATAACTGTAACACTCGGGAATTGGGATTTAATCCCAACAAGAGGAATGATTTGCAACAGAGGGTAGGAGATGACCAAATTTGTGGTATGAAAACACATCTGTTTCTTGTGGGGTGAAAAGATTGAATGTGAGACCTTGAGATTGGGTTAATTTTCAGCATCTAGGCAAGTGGAATATCAAAGAAATATTGAGGAGAAAGAATCAATAGGACATTGCTTGCAGGAGGTAAATTGACCTACCCCTATATTAACAGCAGGTACTTTTTCACCCTTTGTAGGGACAGATAGGATAATATTCCCTTTATATGGTCTAATTAATTATTCATTTTTTCAAGCCCTCACACATTCACTTTAGGATTTCATTCTACACATTGATCTATGAAAAGTTTCTACTGATGACTTTCTCAGTGGCATATGGCCCATGTTTTATAAACTTGAATTTTAAATTTTACCTGCTAAAAATACCTAGTGGTAATACCTACATGTAATGTTCTGGCTTAAGAAACTAAAAGACTAAGTTCTTAGGAAAAAGAACTTAGGGTATCGTTTCTGGAAACTGAGTAGCTAACCAGTTGTTTAAAAATAATTATTCAAGTATATATACCGTACACAAAGAAGATGGATTTTCCAAATATTTTTTCCTGAACTGAGAATAAAATTAGAAGGAAAGGGACTAAAAACCAAAACAAGTAGTCTATATAGAATAATTTCTTATATGGAAAACTATTTAACAGAGCAATGAAGAACCAAAGCCAGTAGTGCAACTCTCCATTTCCTAAAGGATGGATTTTTAATATCTCTCAGAAAGTTGGGTGGGGCCTCACCCGTCAAGAAAGGTGCCAGCAGCTCTGGGCAAGAGAGCAAGAACTTTAGTGAAGAAGTGCCCAGAATCTTCCTTTGCTCTTTTTTTTTTTTTTTTTAATGTGGTTAAGTTTTCTACAAGGAAAGTTCATTGAGTTCTAAAGATCTTTTTTGAAGAAAGAAACTCTGGCTAGATTTCTGGGTGAAAGCAGGAAAAACTTCTGCTCACAAGCAAAGGCCCTTACGATACTTACTTTCCACGTTGGAGACAAAGCCCAGGCTCCGCTTTAGATCAGAGCAGATGGAGTGGAGACACCATCGGAATTTTGCATCGCAGCGATACTTGTTGGCACCACAGGTGTCATAGCAGACGTCCAGCTGGTTGCAGCACTTGGTCATTGCTGGAATGCCCAAGTCCATCTGGAGGAAAGCAAAGGAAAAAAAAAAGAATAAAATGCCACGTTTAGACGAGGACCTCAGGCAACCTTGCCCACCTTGTGGTTGACTTGCTAGTTCTCCCATTCTGGTAACATATTCACATCAATTCAGAAACACCAATGACTCCATAGGATACACCAGATTAATAGTCACAGGAGGTGAAAGTTTCAAACATGATTTGGTTATTAGTTTAATCCTTCTGAATGGTCCATTCTTTTTAATTTAGATTTCAGTAATTTTCAAATTCACAGGCTACCACAGTGATGGAAATAGAAGTCAGAGTATAATCAAGAGGAGAGGGCTGTAGAAATTCTAAATTCAGTTAAAAACCTATGGTATATGAGATTTTGTTTGCATAAAGGATTCCAGAGCTAAGAAATATGGAAAATTAAGCCTTACTTCATCAAGAGACCACACCATTTATCAGGAATTCCTCTACACAGCTCAGTTTTAAGCCTGTGGGTGTCTTTATATGTCAGAACTCCTGACCGCAGAGTTTCTGACCACCAGGGACTGTCGTCAGAAGACAATATCTCACACAAATGCACACACATTTTTATTAAGCAGCTTACAAACAATGACAAATGTTGTGGCATAAACTAAGTCCATAGGATGCCACAAACAGAGTTACCAAAGAGGTTTTTTTTAGAGGATTTTTAAAATGGAGAGAAGATGAGTAGAGGTAAGGGCACATTTAGACTATTAAAGGTAAAGAAAGAAAGTAATGAGTAAATCCTGTGTTAGCAAGTCAGTTCCATTTGTTTAGTCTTTCAAGCATCTTAGCTGGGAAATATGTGTGAGTGTGTGTGTGTGTGTGTGTGTGTGTGTGTGGTGAATCTAGATAGAAGTGTTTGCAGTTTTGAAATGATAACTTTGAATGGAAATTGTAAAAATCTAATTTCAGGTTATGAATAGGGATTAATACATTAGCTGTTATAGAACCTCTTTACATGGGGCTCCTTAAGTAGTATCCTATTTGAAGTCTTACTCCAGTGCTACCTAAAGAAAAATATTGATTTTGACAGTTTAAAATGTAGGTTTAAATAAAAAAAAAAAAGAAAAAACTACATTAGAGATAATTTAAGTCAGTGGACTAGACAAAGGAATGCACTCTGCAATTCTGGGATAATTCCCATGATCTGATACCTACTTTGCTTCTGCCTTACCCCTAAAATTAGAAATAGATCTTGGACCCTCCCTGGTGGTGCACTGGGTTACAGCACAGCACTAAGAAGCTAAAGCCACTTCAGCATGAGTTTGATCCCTGCCCCAGAGGTGACCCATATGGCGCGGCAGACCTCTCTAGACCTGCCCCCTGCTCCCCTCAGCAATGTATTTCAGTGGATCTGCCTGTTCTGCTCCCTACTCTGTCTCTGGTGAATCCTCTCACTGCCCCTGCACCTCTGGCCTGTACCCCAGCTCTGTATGCATAAATAAATAAATCTTTTTAAAAAAAATAGATCTTAACTGAGAATTAGATGAGTATAGCGGCTATCATTCAATTAAACTAAATTGAAAATTACTGAACTAGTTCTATTTGATATTTATGCCAACAAATAAAAATATTGCTTCTAAAATAGTGGATGCCACTTGTTTGACTAATAAATTGATATCAAGTAAAATATATTAGCCAAAAAAATATTCCTCTAGGACAACTCAATATTTGATGTTTTTTTTCTGTGTTCAACCCCTTCCTGATGATTCTGGACAAAGCTGAACCTACAGTATGCAGGTCATGTCATGTATCTTTGCACAGACACCATAGACTTAAGAACTTATTAAGAAAAACATATAAAACTTTAAACTAATCCTTGAAAGCACAATGGGCTATGATGGAGAGGCTCTGGGTGATTTGGTGGTGGATGGCAATACCTGAAAGAAAGAAAACTGTCTATCCAGCAGTAATCAAGTTTCCTTTCTTAACAAAATGAATATTTTCAGATGAATTTGTAACAAAGGGACTAAAACTACCTAGAGGAGAGAAGATATTTTCACAAGTTGCACAAAAATGCTATGTGGGTGAGCAGTATTTTTGTGGAAGAATTAACATTATGCTGCTTAGGAACTCACTATAAAAGAAAATATTTTAAATCAGCAGAAAAGTGAAGGTTACCCTTTGAATTAAAACACAGTTGAAAATCATAGTTTAAATACAAAAGCCCCCTAACCTACATTTTCTATAAAGCCTCTTTCTAAAGTGAAAAAGGTAAAAGCCCTCAAGGAAGCCTTGAAAGAAATTATTGTTTTTCAGGAGAGTGAAATTTGAGAAATGGTCAGCAGTGTGATGATGAGTGTTTAGTCAGTGACTGGATGGGTGGGGTGAAGGGAGAGTTGTGCATGCACACACAATTTTCTGGAATGCTAATATCTCCAAGATAGCTGATTTGATGCTGTCAAGATGAAGTCAAACCCTTGTAAAAGTTCTGATAATATAATTATCAGCTCTCACTGGTTGGCCCTAGCTGGCTTCAGTATGTCACTAGAAAGACAATTTAAGTAAATCAAATTTTGTCAGATATATTTCAAATGAAGTTTACATTTGTCCCCTTAAGGCTCAACTGATGTTTGCAGTGGTGAACTTTGAAGTTCACCACAGAAGGGCTTATGTGAGGGTTGCTACTTCCTGAGAAAAGGAAATTACACATTTTGAAAATAATTTCTTTTCTTATATCTAACTTAAAATGCTTAATTGCATTGCTCAACTATATTTCACAATATAGTGATCATGTCCATCAGTGATAGCGCTTGGATTACTGTTAATTAAAACCAATCAATAAGGAAAACGATGATGTTGATACATACACTTTCTGGTACCTTGAGACCCAGGAAGTAGGAGCTGCACCCATTGGGCTCCTGAGGCTTGTAGCCAGGTCTGGGCATTGGTGCCTTTCCTAGCAGGAGAAAGAGAGGAAAGAAGCCGGGAGAAATGTTTAGAAATTAAGCATTCACCAAAGAAAAAATGTTCTAAAAGCATATCCATTTTTTTCTTTACAAGTCAGGTTCCCCACCAGATACTCCTATCAAATACATGTTGGTGGTGGTGATATAAAAGAGTAACAACCTTTAGGCCAGTTTGGCATTTTTCTTCATATCTCACAGAATGTTATGATCATATATTTACTAACAGTTCTAATGTTTCTCAAGTGTATTACATTAAAGATTAGCCCCATGACAAAACCAAGTGAAAACTCAAGGTTTCCTATTCTCCCCACTGTAAGATCACATGCCCTGAAAAGAAAAAGGACACTCCCTAACCATACACTTAAGGTAACAGAATTATAAAAGTACCACAAGATTTTTTTCAAAATATCTGAAGGAAATTTCACAATATTTCATAAATGTAAACAAAGCATTATTAACCAACAGACAATGAAAAGGCCCCAATATATCAGCTGTTTGTATCACTGTATGTCTGCATTTATTTTTTTTTTTTCTTCCCTTTATGAGCTACAGGTTATACTGGAAACTAAGAATTAATCCTGTGTGAGGCATATGACATTTCTTTATTCTTCAGTCTTTGCCAGGTATATTTTTAAAAATAATTTGTGTCATGCCATGGATTCTTCTTTAAAAAAATTTACTTTTGCATAGAAGAACTGGGATGTAGGCCAGAGGTGGGGGTGGGGTTTGAGAGGCTTTGCCAGAGACAGAGTGGGGAACAGAACAGCCAGATGTACTGAAATTCACAGCTGAGGGGAGCGGCGGGTGAGACAGCAGAGGTTTGCTGTGCTATCTGTGGACCAGCTACTTGGCCCGAGATAAGACTCAGGCCACAATGGTGATGACACTGAGATTTGACTCCTAGGCCACCAGGGAGGTCTCAGGTATTTTATTTTTAATTATTTTATTATATATAATATAAAAGTATTTTATACTATATTTTTATTTATAACATAAAACTATTATAAAATACTTTTAAATTGAAGAAAAGTCACAGAAATACCCATGTACTCACTATGCAAGTTAGTATTACCAAACTTACCATAATTATTCTGTTTAATTAAATGTTAAATTACAGTTGGAGTCACATTGTGACCCATCTTTGTTCTAATTTGTAGACACTAAATGTATGCTTCAAAGCCTTAGTATTCCTAAGAATTGTCTTCAGTATTCTCAAACTTTATTCATACATGAATTTTAATGTCAACTTAATAAATTATGCAAGATATGTTATCAGTATTTTGATTGAACATCTATTGATTTGAAGACAAGTGGTTCATTGGAGTATTCTTTCTCTACAAATATGGGCATAGTATAGGTTTCTATACTTAGGTCTCCCTTTGTATCCTTCAATAGAGTGTTATAATTTTCTCATGTATTTATTCTATGCTATACACACTGTATTATTCAGATGCTTAAACAAGATAGAATCTCACTTAAAATCCAGAAAAAAGAATCACAGATTCCTATGGTAAACTGCACTTTTCAGGAACCCAGGCTGCTTCTGATACATCACTCCTAGGATGTGACCCTGGCTCTCTGGGTCCAAAATGAAGCTTCAGTCAATACATTCATGTAATAAGCAGCAGGATAAGAGGAGGAGGTCAAGTTGTCCCAGCCCTTCTTTTCATAAACATACTATAGAATGTTAAACTTATTTCTTGTCCTTACTGCCCTTTTTTGACCTTAATCAAATGAAAATACAAGATTTCAAAGGTGGGGTAAAAAATGAAGTCTTTATCCAGCTTAAACTGGGAGGAGGGTTTACTGCTGTAGAAAAGAGATCCAGGGTATTAGCGGACAACAGTCTGTTTGGGTATTTGTAGTTAAGACACAATATGTATAAAATTGTGGTCCATGATGTATGTCTATCTGTATTGTCCCAGCATTGGTCTGTGTGATCAAAAAATTGTCACCAAAGTGGAGGTGTGTTGCTTTCAAGATGAGGTTATAAAAGATCACATCTGTGGAGGTTCCTCAAACTGTTAAATGTGGAGCTTCCCTACGACCCAACAATCCCACTCCTAGGTGTCTACCCAAAAGACACAAAAGCACTGATTCAAAAAGATACCTGCACCCGCATGTTTATTGCTGCTTTATTCACAACTGGAAAGACATGGAAACAGCCCAAATGCCAAAAAATGGATGACTGGATTAAATAGATGTGGTACATATGCACAGTGGAATATTACTCAGCAACAACAACAAAAAGAAGCACATGTCTTTTGCAGCAACATGGATGGAGCTGGAAAAGATAGTGCTTAGTGAAATAAGCCAGCAAGAAAAGGAAAAATACCAGATGGTTTCTCTCATAGGAGGAATATAATGGAACAGGTGAGAAAATAATGATAATGATGAACAGCTTATACTACAGATATTTTGTGAGGGTGGAGTGGGGAATGGGGGCAGGGGGTGAAGTGCACTGGACTATGGTGATGGCACAGGGTGATTTGGTGATGGGAAACCCAAGGGGATTACAAATGAGATGGAAAAATGCACAAAATGATGTAAAAATAAACTATTATATATATATTTATATATTTATATATATATATAAAGATATATCATTCTCCCTGGGGTGAGGTGGTATTTCATTGTCAGGGAAATAGTTTAATGGAGAAACAAACATTTAAATTTGATGATAAAACTTACACTTTAATAATTTTGCTGATAAAGATCTTTTGTAGTACACTCAGAGCAAATTCCTTCCCTCTGTCTTTTTTGCACTTGATAATTCACAGGGCTGAAACTCTTGATATTCCAGTTAGAAAAATAATGGAATGCTAATATAGATACTTCCTACCTGACTGTTCTTAGTAAATAAATTGTTTTTTACTGTCTTTAATATTTTATGTTGGAAGCAAAATTTCTGTTTATGAATGAAGCCCAAAGCAAAAGTTTTATGAAAAAAAAAAAGGCGATGATTTCAGCCTAGGCAGAAATAAAGTAGTACATCCACAAATTAATTTTTTCTGATTTGGGCTATTTAGAGAATGGGAGATCAACACTTGATTCTTTAGTTCAAGAGTTGGCAGAAGAGGGACAACATCAACCCACTGTGTTAAAATGCCAGCTAAAAATGGCTTTTTATATTTTTTAATGGTGGGGGCAAAGTAGTCAAAACAAGGATAATATTGTGTGACCTGTGAAAATTATGTGAAACTCAAAATTTTGGTTAAAAAAATAGTAGAGGCCCTCCCTGGTGGCGCAGCAGGTTAAAGCACAGCACTGAGAAGTTAAAGCCACTTCAGCATGAGTTCAATTCCCGCCTTCCCCGGAGGCTACCACATGGTGTGGCAGACCTCTCCTGACCCGCCCGCTGCTCCCCTCAGCAGTATACTTCATAGATCTGCCTGTTCTGCTCCCCTCTCTGTCTCTGGTGAAGCCTCTTGCCGCCCCTGCGCCTTTGGCCTGTACCCCAGTTCTGTAGTTCTGTATGAACAAATAAATAAATCTTTTTTTAAAAAAATAGTAGAGGGTTAAAATCTTGATAGAGGATGGTTTTCTAACCTAGACAAAATGTTCAGTCATAAAAACTTGACCTTATGAAAAGTAAAGCTTTCTTGATAAAGTTAAAAACCATAAACCACTTAATAAAAGGCAAATTACGGAGATTTAGGAGGAGAATTAGCACAAAACCCAGGAGTTCTACTCACAGGCTTATATACCACCTCCTGGGTATATACACCCAGCCTTTTTTCTCTCTCTTTTGTCACTGAAAAGATCAGTAAAATCTTCTGGAGTTTTATTACACAGACCAAGGGTTAATTCTTCATAGGAAGGTGTGTCCATTCTCCCCACCCAGCTGGCTTCTATAGAAGTAGTTCATGTGCCAGAAAAGTGCTACTAAGGAGTTAGAGTTTTTGAAATGTATGTTCTGCTTCCAGAAACACTAACACAGTAACATGTCAAGAAAACAAAGCAGGATGGGAACAATTGTTTTTTTTAATAACAGTTTATTTTTACATCATTTTGTACATTTTTTTCCATCTCAATTGTAATCCCCGCGGGTTTCCCATCACCAAGTCACCTGTGTGCCATTACCATAATCCCATGCACTTCCCTCCCCACCCCTCCGTTTTTGATCCCATTCCCCACTCCACCCCCACAAAATGTCTTTGGTATATGGCTGTTCAATATTCTTGTTATTTTTTTTGCCTGGTCCATTATACTCCTGCTATGAGTGAAACCATCCGGTATTTTTCTTTCTCTTTCTGGCTTATCTCACTAAGCATGATATTTTCCAGCTAGGATGGGAACAATTTTACTGAAACAATCAACCCTCTAAACAGATGAACTGACTACATGAGGTCTATGACCAACTTGTCTGGTTTGCTTGGGAACTTTTTCTATTTTAGAACAAAAATTCCAAATCCTGAGAACCCACACCTTTTCCCTCACTCCCTGACAAACTAGGACAGTTAGTCACCCTCACAGTAGAGAATCTTTGCTTCTTAACCAGTGACCAGTTTCTTTTTCAGAAAAATGGATCCCCTTGAGAATGTGATGAAGTCTATGAATTCTTTCCCTGGGAAAACTCACAGGTCAATAAAATTTTGCTTTTAGATTTCAAACAGATAAAAAGATCTCTATGGGAATGGGGGAAAAGACTGATACTTAAAAATACTTTGCTCCTCACACTCCCAGATTTCAAGTTATACTACAAAGCCATAATAATCAAAACTGCATGATACTGGAACAAGAACATATACACAGACCAGTAGATTCAAGTAGAAAACCCAGATATAAACCCACAGGTTTATGGGCAGCTAATTTTTGACAAAGGAGCAAAGAATATACAATGAAACAGAGAAAGTCTGTTCAACAAAGTCTGTTCCCAAATGGTGCTGGGAAAAACTGAATGCTACATGCAAAAAATGAAACTGGATCACTACCTTGCACCATGCACAATAAAACAACTTGAAGTGGATTAAAGACCTACACAACAGAATGGAAAATATCTGGAAAGCAAATATCTGGAAGCAAAGATGGGCAAAACACTGCATGACATACACCTAAGTAACATCTTTAAAGATACAGTACCCAGTGCAACGATAGTGAAGGAAAGGATAAACAGATGGGACTATATCAAATTATAGAGCTTCTGTATAGCAAAAGAGACATTACATAAAACAAAGAGGCACTCCACTGATTGGGAGAAAAATTTTGCACGCAATGCTAATGACAAAGGACTGATCACAAAGATACACAAAAATTGCTGATTAAACTCAACAAAAATAAACAACCCCATCAAAAAAATGGGCAGAAGAGCTAAAAAGATACTTCTCCAAAGAGGAAATGCAGACAGCCAACAAGCATATGAAAAAATGTTCTGCATCACTTGTAATAAGGGAGATGCAAATTAAAAACCACAATGAGATACCACCTCACACTAGTAAGAATGGCACATCTTAGAACAACTAGCAACAACAAATGTTGGCAAGGATCTGGAAAAGAAGGAACTCTCCTGCACTGCTGGTGGGAATGCAAACAAGTACGACAACTATGGGAAACTGTTGGGAGGTTTCTCAAACTGCTAAAAACACAGCTTCCCACTCCTAGGTATCTACCTGAAAGACAAAAACAGATTCAAAAAGACACCTACACCCCCATGTTTATTGCTGTTTTATTTACAATAGGAAAAACATGGAATCAACGCAAATGCCCAAAAGTAGATGACTGGATTAAAAAGATGTGGTACATATACACAATGGACTATTACTCAGTATCAAAAAAAGATAAACTCATACCTTTTGCAGCAACATGGATGAAGCTGGAAGGGATCATGCTTAGTGAAATAAGCCAGAAAGAAAAAGAAAAATACCGGATGGTTTCACTCATAGCAGGAGCATAAAGGACTGGAGTGGGAAGGGGAAATAGTGAACAACTGTATACCAGAGACATTTTACAGGGGTGGAGTGGGGAATGGGATCAAAAATGGGAGGGGGAGGAAATGCACAGGACTATGATGATGGCACACAGGTGAATTGGTGGTGGGAAGTCCACGGGCATTGCAGCTCAGATGGAAAAAGTCACAAAATCATGTAAAAATAAACTAATATAATAAAAATACTTTTCTCCCTAGAGCTAAACCCTAGGAGAAATTCATCATGAGATTCCCTTCTCTGTGAGACAGTACCTTTGTGCTCCAGAGCCCTGCTCCAGATACCTACCTAAAGGCAGAGAACACTAAAATTACTATTAAAGGATTTCTTCTAGAAGCTGAGACGATGTTGTCTAGTCACTGGGAAATCTGTGGCTTTTAAATTTAATGATGAAAGAATCTGAATGCACAGATAACCTATTCAACAGATATCTTCCTCATTACAATTATAAAATATTTGGAAAGATATACATAATTATAAAAAAGTTGTTACCTATCATGATTATATCACTAAATATATAATCTTTAATTTTTATGACAAATTTGCAATATAATTATTATTAACACTATTCATATATATGAAGAAACAAATCCCAAAGTCACTAACAGTGGGATCTACCCTCAAATTTAAACCCATGATTTTTCTACCTGCACAGTTCCAGGGCCCTACCACAGCCCTGAGTCAGAATCTTGGGCTGTTTGCACCAGGGCAGCCAACTAGCCAAGCTAGTTATCTGTTGACTCCAGCTGAATCTCATTACAATTATAGCTCCTTTGACACGTACAGACTTTGTGTATTGACATGAAAATAAATTGCTATAGATAGAATTGTGGTAAGTTATATTGACATGCTGCTGCAGGCTATAGGGATATAAACACACCTTTACCTGTCTGAACAACCTGTGTCTGAAGTGCTCCAAGAATAGCCTCTTACGTAGTACATCTTACCTAGACTGTACTTGTAATGACCTGGAAACATTAAAATACTACTGCCTGTGTTTAACCCAGAAGATTCTGATTTGATTGCTTTTACCAGGAGTTTTAAGTCTCCCAGATGATTTTAAGTGAGGGCCGAGTTGGAGAACTAAATACAGTAAGTCCTCGAGTTGTAGGTTAGGTTCTTGGAAACAAACTTTAAATAAAAGTTCATTTAAGGATAGCAGGTCCTCATGGGTTTTTTTTTTTCCTCATCAACTTCATACTAGATGACCTTGAATCAAATGATATTTTTGAGGGTATACTGTAGTGGTAAGTACCTATCAAATAGAAATTGTTTTCATAGACTAAGTATTACTAAATGATTTCTTCTGGTAAGAATATTGCAGGCTTTAATGCATTATTTTTTTTTTCTCAAAGCGTGGTCTCAAGACTAGCTGAGGATCACCTGGGAACTGTTAGAAATGCAAATTATCTGGCTCCACCCAGGGCCCAGGAGCTACTTAAACTGGCCTCCTGGGTGATTCAAAGCACCTGGGAGTTTGAGCTAGGAGGCTTTAAAGCAAGCGCTGTGTACAAGCAGTGTATCAAAAAGCCAGCAACCATAAACACCTCCGTTAGTTATTGGGCATTATCTGTTTGAATTATCGTTTGCTTCACAATCGACTTGAGAAGATTTTGTGCTGTTTGGGCGAAGCCTCCACACCCTTGGCTCCAAGGGGTTCCACAGGTAACATGCTAAACCCCCTATTTTCCATATGTGTTTTCAGGCTCCTCCAGAGTCTTTTTGCACAGAGCGAATGGAGTTAGTTGCCTTCCTGTAAGGTCTCTGTTGCCACTTCCCATCCCCCACCAGCAGCTGCTGAGCCCAGTAAGGCTGAGGTTCTCAGCCCAAATTCTCTGAAATCTTTTTTTTTCTTTTTTTGGCTAAAGAAAGAAAAAGACGGTTTGATTCTTGTTTCCTGTTTATTTGTTAAACCACAGGCCTAAGTCATGTGTTGTCTCAAGGCAGGAAAATAGTGCCTGTGTTAAGTGTCTCCTGTTGAGTTAACCCCTTTCTGGCCTCATCTATGTACAAGCTAGATGTCCAGTGACCAGGTATCTGCATTTATGCAGCCTGCTCTGGACAAAGACATGGCTGGAGCCCAGGTCAGTCTGAGGACAGACAAGGGTTTTTTCCCCCTCTGGAATCTTTACTGAGAAGATGCAGCTTTTTTCAGCACATCTCTGTGTGGTTAAAACGACTATGCTGCAAAACTTCTGATTTTGGACTAATGGTTAACTATTTATCCCTAGTCACTTTTGGTTTTAGAAAGAAGCCATTTCTGCTGCTCAAAGGGAAAATACAGAGTCTGGATAAGTCCAGTTAGTTTTCAGCTTTTAAAAGTCTCTCTTGAAACAGCTTTAATCTGTGGCGTACCTAGAGAAAATATGTCTGATGTGTTTCCCTGCTACACTACACTGACTCACCCTTTTAATCTCTAACCTCATGATGAAACAGTTGACAAACTAAACCATAAAACTAAGGTTGTATGGACTGAGCTTGCTTTGGAAAACATTTTCATCAGTTTGATGTTACCCCCTGCACTGCCATCTGTGATCGGTGGCACCTAACCCCCTGTCCGGCCAGGGTAGAGGAAGGCTGGTGTCAGAGACTCTCTGGTTGCCAAGCAATAGGCCTGAGGGCAGTTCATGTGGCAGGGAAAGGGGACATGGGCCCCTCCCACCCTCCAAGGAACTGCTGCCATTGCTGACGGTGGTAGTGGCAGAGGCATCCAATGGCCTCTTTAGGGGAGTCAGGAAAACTGATGCCCAGAAGAGACTGACAGAGCTAGAAGGAAAGTGTGAACTAACCGAGGGAGGAAGGAGAATACATTTCAAGTTTAGCACAAGGTGATTGAAAAAATTTTTATCCCCTGGCAGAATTTTCTGCGTTCATTTTCAATTTTCATCCTAGGAGAGACTCAACAAAGACTCTCAGAGCCTTTCTCTGGCCCTTTGCTGCCTTTTCTTAAGTATCTGCCTCATAGCAAACCATAGAAAATAGCCCCACGGAAGAAGTCTTGACAGGCTCCCAGGAGTAAGTAGGTTTGCCAGATCAACTTTAGGAAACTCAGTGAAATGTGCATTTTAGTTAAACAACCAAAAATGTGTTAGCATAAGTGTATCCCAAATATTTCATTGGGCATACACTCGTAAATTATTTATTTGTAATTCAAATCTATGCAATTTACACTTTTATTTTTGAATCTAGCTATCCACAGGCCCACCAGTGATAGCTTTTACAGAAAGAGAAACCATGCACTCACCATATCGGCACCTGTATTGACAGACTCCATTTTTCCCTCCCAGCAGCTCCATAAAGGAATCGAAGTAACTGTTGAAAGATTCAAAGCTGCCCCGAAGTTGCCGAAGGCCCCAATTTGAATAGGACTCCTCTGTGTCCGGGCTGGTGTCACTCTGAGCCAGGCCACCCCTCAGGCTGAACCACAGGATCAAGAAGCCTCTGGCCAGCTTCATGGTGGAGCCAGGTAGGTGCTGCGGTCTCGCCTCAAACCTCAGCCAGTATCCCACGTACACAATCCACCTCACCAGATGACAGACAGGACAGGGACTATCTAGAACACTCAATCTGTGTGTTCCTTAGAATGGACTTTAAACATAGCTCTGGAGGTTGGGATGAGATCAGGGCAATTAGAAAGGACAAAGGTTAGGCAGTGGGCGGGCCTATCTGAGAGGTAGCCAGTGAGAGAGAACATTTCAAAGTGGATTTCACAGGCCAGGCGGGCTGCAGGAGATGTTTGCCAACTTCTAAGAGGCAGGAGTGGTGGAGCAATCGGAATTCTACCCCATCAGCTTGTTAACCTATTGATTAGTTTATAGGTTTGGTCCCTCAGGGCCAACTTGTGACACAAAGAGATTTCTCCAGGTCCTAGACCCACCTCTGAGCCAGCCATTCATACTTGGTCTCTAGGGAGATTCAGGTGGGTGCAGAAAGGGCTCAGGAACCCAGCTGGTGGATTAGTCTTGTCACCTGCACTAACAGTCAGGAAGTTGTTGGTATTTAAGTGTGCTTGAAGTGGGAGGTAAAACTTGGAACTCAACTTTTCTGCCTCAGTTCCTGAGAAAATGATTTTCAGATTCAGTCCTCTAGTCATCCAGAGCTCCTGTCAGCTGCCTTGGAGTGCGACATTTTGCCTCTTTATTTGCTTAGAGCCTTATCTTTATTTACACTCAGTATTAACTAATATCTACACAGTGCTCAGGGGTGGGTCTAGGACACAGTTCTGGGGAGCTTAATTCTCCTATTGTGGGTTTTTCTTCTCATCGCTTTTAAAAAGTCAGTTTACCAGAAATGCTATCTGGAATTTTAGGCTTTAAGACTATTGACTAACATCTAGTGTTTTGGTGTCACTTTCGGTTTATAGTTAGCTGTAAAGTCATGGGAAGCAATGCCTGTCATCGATGAAATCACTAGTCTATAAAAATGACAACTTTATGGACCAAATGAGTCATTAGTTTCTCTCTCAAATACCTTTTGTAAAGCCCCATAGAAAACAATAAACACCTTCATTGTAAATAAGAGACATATGTCTACAGATCCAGGAAGGGGAGCAGTTAAATATCTCATAGGAACATCAATAATACTACCAATATTTTAAAGTGTCTGTAGTTTTCAAACTACTTGTGAATATGCATGTGTGTGTGTGTTTTGCCACATTATTTCTACAAAACATGATAAACATGAGAAATGGGAAAATGGAAATAAAAATGTTCAGTGACTTGGTTTGAACTGGACAGGCTCTTGTGGTAAAACTGGGATCAGGACGAGTTACATAGAATATGGGGAAAAGTGACATTAAAGAAATTGGAATGGTAAGTTTTGCCGTTAAAAATGGTTCATTACTAGTAAAATATAATGGAATGATACTCATAACTGTAACAATATAAACACTTTTTTTGGTGTTATAGCTTACACAAATTATTTCTTCGGTCCTCAAAATGTATACTTTCAATAATTTTGTTTTTAATTCAAACCATTGAAAGTTTTGACACTTTCTCTTGGTAAATGCAAAATTAAAGATGAATTGACAATTTTTCACCTTGAGAAGGGTATTTCTGCGGGTTGCAAACTGTTACTGGAACTATTGATAGCATTTCCCCTGCCTGTTTCTCAATAATGTAGTTTATTATAGTAAAATATGCAGAAGCCTTTCTAGTTTATTGCTTATTTTTGCTTTTGTATTTTTATCTAAAATCATTGCCAAATCATTGTCAAAGAACCTATTACCTGTTTGGTTCAGGAATTTAATGGTTTCATGTCTTAATTAAGTCTTTAATCTACTTTAAATTTTCATATGTGGTCTAAGTTAGTAATGTAGTGTCTTTTCCAAGTGGTCAGTTTTCTAGCATCATTTATTGAAGAGATACTTTTTCCATTGTATATTATTGCTTCATTGTCATAAATTGACCAGGTACTGTGCTGTCCTGTTGTGTTGATCTTGTGGTCTGTTCTTATGCTAATGCCATATTGTCTTACTAATATCATTTGAAATTGGGGGTCACCAGAGCTGCTTTGATCTTCTGAGATTTTCTTTGGCTATTCAGAGTCTTTTGTGGTTTCATAATAATTTTAGGATTTGTTAATTTCTATTTAAAAATGCATTTGAATTTTGATGGGAATTACATTAAATATGTAGACCACTTTAGGTAGAAAGGAACTTTAACAATATTCTTCCAACCCCTGAACATAGGATAACTTTTCCTTTGTGTTGTCCTCAACTTTCTTTAATGAAAGTCTTAAAGATTTGTGTTCAGATTTTTTAATTTCCTTGATGAAATTTATTCCTAAGTATTTTTACTGTTTGAAGAAATTGTGAATTCATTTTTTTAGTTCTGTTTGGATTTGGGGGATAGTGTAGACTCTAGGGTTTTCTATTTATAACAGCTGTAAATGGTTACAATTTTTTCTTTTCTAAATTATATCCACCTCCCCTCTCCCCAAATGCCCTCTGCTCTGGTCACTCTGCCTATATCATCTGATACAATGTTAAGTAAAGTGAGGAAAGTGGGACACCCTGATCTTGTTTGTGATAGTGGAAAATCAGTTATTCTGAGTGACATTAGCATGGGCTTGTAATACACGGTTTTTATTGTGTATTATACCTACTTTGTTTAGAGTTTTTATCATAAATGAATGTTGAATTTTATCCAATAGATACTATTGAGAAATGATTTTTATTCACTTCTTGATGTGCCATATCACATGTAGTGATTTGTGAATGTTCAACTATCCTTAAATCCCTGGACTAAATTTCATTTGATCATGGTGTGTGGTATTGCCAATAAATTCAACTCCCTATCGTTGCTGTCTATGATCATGCATCACTTAATAATGGGGGTTGGTGATTTTATTGTGTGAATACCAAAAAGTATAATTATACAAACCTAGCTCACCGCCTACCACACAGCTGGGCTGGTTGACCTGTCCTTGAATGAAACAATGAAGCGAACACATGAGTGTGTTTTTCCCTTTAATTCTGTTATTTATATATTTAGGTGTCCTATGTTGGCTGATAATGTTTATAAATGTTATAGCCTCATGGTGGATTGACCCTCCCCCTGTATAGTGCCCTTCTTTCTTTTTACAATCTTTGTTCGGAAGCTATTTTGTCTGATGTAAATACACCAGCTTTGTTTTGCATCATTTCCCTTCCCTTGCAATTGGTGTATGACAGTATCTCCTGAGTGTAACAGTCAAACTCACTTGCTGCTCCGACTTTCCAGCTGACCAGTATTTCTCTGGATTGTAGGCAGAAGAGGCCTGCGTTTCTGTCCTGTCTAAAAGTTGGAAGACAGTTAGTTCTCTGCAGACCAATATATGGCACAAACAACGTCTAAAACAACGTCCCAGTCTTTCTGGCCTAGTGACGACGCCTGTTTGCTTAGCCAGGAGCTTGGTTTGGGGTCAGACTCCTGTTCTGGCACATGCGTAGAGCCTACAGTGATCTCAGGGATGCAGGCTGGTGGATGCCACCTTTGCCCTCTCCCTCTGTCTTGCTCGAGCTTACACTCTTGCCTGGCGCCCTGACTCTATAGCTGCTTCCAGAGGACACCTGCGTACGTACTGGTACTCTGTAGTACAGCAGAGGTATATTCTGGATTATTAATTGCTTACAGATTTCAAAATATTTTTTGAATTTCCCCTTCACACTCTTTATAGTAGCCTTTGCATAAAAATCTTCAATCTTGATGAAACTCAGTTGTTCTATTCTTTTGTGTTGTTGCCTCTGCTTTGGGGATACATTGAGAAAG